ATGGTGGTCATGGATTGCAAGGCTCAGAGTGAAGCAGCCCATTCTCCATGGATCGATCCACAGCCCACAACTTCCCTTCATCAAAACACCAGCAGATTTCCTGGTAGAAGTTGACTAACTGATTGTAAAAATTTCAGACTGGCTGGCCTTGGGAGGAGTGGTCTTGTCCCCAGTATGTGAGGCCACAGATGCCAGAAAATCAACAAGACAGAAAATAAGGAAATAGAGCTAGCACGCTGGGCTCCATGATGAATATTTCAACACAGAACGTAAAGATGCCAGTGTCTATGAGCTGAGGGCATGCATGGAGGGGCAAGGGGCTACTATAGGAATAGCCAGGGCCAAGGAGGAAGGGGAAACAGGAGCTCAGGGAACTCAGGGAGATCTAAGGCAGAGGCGCTCAAGAGTAGACCATGGGGCTGGGCACCAGTACTCATGCCTGTAATCCCAGCTACTCAGGTGGCAGAGATCAGGAGGATCATGGTTCAAAGCCAGCCCGAGCAAATAGTTCACAAGACCCTAGCTCAAAAAACCCATGACAAAAAAGGGCTGGTGGAGTGGCTCAAGCAGTAAGAGTGCCTGCCTAGCAAGTGTGAGGCCCTGAGTTCAAACCACAGTACTGCCAAAAAAGAAAAAAGAAAAAAAAAAAGAATGGACCATGGCTTTGTCACTGTCCCTACATGGACACACTAAATCTGACACACACACCCCCCAAGGCCGCTGCCAGGAATGGCTTCAATAGGCTCTGCAAATCTTTGACCCCAAACTCTAGGTCCTCCTTCACCTCTCTCCCCATACACCGTGAAAGCGCTGTGGCTCTGGGTGACTCCCAGGCCCTATCAGTTCTGTTGGGGGAAGACAGGATAAGCACGGCATCTCTGATAGAAATCACATTCCCACAACAGAAGCCCTCGTGGGATTCAACCAGGTTAACGTCAATGAAAATGACACTAAGTATGTGATTTGGCTCTAAGGAGATTGCAGGTGGCAGCAGTGGGGGCCTGAGCCCACTAGGCAGCCTGGACTCCAAAGAAGTTAACCAGAACTTATTCTGTACAAGTTCTGTGGGGCCCAGGCAGCTGGCCCATGGCACCCCTGGTGGTGTCCAGCTTCTTCCTTGGGTGGCTTGGAAATCAGGTGACTTTCCACCTATAGTCCACAGCTAACCAGACAAAGCCAAAATGGAACCCAGAGGCCAGCCCCTAGGCTAGGAAGGCCACCCATGAGAGACTCTACTGATAGAGCTAGTGGATCCTTGTCCCACATTTCTATCTGGGACCAATTCAGCCCAAAGGCTCAGTGCCTCAGTTTCCTCATGGGTGCAATAAAGATAACAGTATGTCTACCTGAAAATGTTGGGAAGGTGAGACTGAGGCCCAGCTCAGGTCAGTGGGCCCCAGGAACACGTGACCTACCAGGACAGGTAGGGAAAGCAGACACTGAAAGAGGACAGGTGCTGCCGGGCTGGCCTCGGGGCCAGCATAGAAGAGGCAGTTAAGATTAAAGGGAAACTGAGGAAAAAGGGAAGTCAGCCTCTGCACCAGTGACCTTAGGAGTCTGATGCCCACTTCCTCTGGTGTCATCACGTCTTCTTGTCCACCTCCGCTCAATAAGCTGATGCTAAACCAACTTGATCCTAGGGAAGGGTGAACAGAGTCTCCTATAGAGCCAGCCCTGTGTGTCACCAAAGCCTCTGCCCCAATTTCTCACCTGTTCACCACAGTCACAAGGTGGCAGGACTCTGTCAGAGAAATCCCAGGGAGTGCCTAAGGAGTGATTCTGTGTCACACTGTCCAAGGAAGGTTCTAGGCGAGGTAACTCACAGCTATGGAGAGAATCATCTAAGAAGTTTTGTGAAAACGCAGTCACCTGGGGCCTCCACCACCAGGGCTTTGGCAATGATTCCCAGGGACCCTAGCATGCAGCCAGCATGAAAAGAAGGCTATAAGGACTCAAGAGGACTAGACACAGAAAACCTACCGTGTGACAATTACAGGACCTGAGACAAAGCTGCTCTGAGCCTCTGTTCCCTCCTCTGAAGCAGGGGAAGGCAGAGAGGTCCCTGCAGAAGCAGACATGCCATCTGGGGTCACACTTAGATGTGTGGGACTGTCACCTCTAATCCTAGGAAAATGTGGACTCACACAAAGGGAGCAGGCCAGAGGCAAAGAAGAGTCACTAGGCCTTGGATCTGCCTGGGCACTGTGGAGAGCCTCTACCAAGCAGACAGGGATTAAAAAGCAACTAGGGTCCTGGGGCTAGAAGTGGGAACTGAGACAGACCTCCTTCACCATTGTCTTCCTCACTTCTCAAGCAGCTGATTCTGGAGCACAGCTGGGTGGAGATTCATGCCTTCCTCTTCCTGAAAGAGCCTGTGCTGGTCCTGGACTGAACTGTCCCCTGACATGAGAGAGGAACAGACTGAAAGACACTCAGAGAACACAAGAGAAAGGGAGAAAGACTGAGAGACAGAATGAAGAAGGGGAGGCAAGAGTGAAAGAGAGATACAGTGACTGCACAGAAATTGCTGAAGGACCAGGGCTCCAGGGGGCAGAGAGGAGGTCCGGCCTGCCAACGCAGGGCCATATCTCTAGGCACAAGATTGGGGTTGTGACTCAATAACAGAAGTGGCTTGTCAGTGACCACAAAGGACATCCTTCTGCAATATAGGAAAAGAAGAAGCTAGATTGACAAAGGAAGTTGCTGCCCACAGCGGGAGGGGATGGGAAGCCCCCTCCTCTCAATCCTTTGAAGGAGGCTGGCTTGAATTTCTTGGTTGTTCTACCTAACACTCTCTAGAATACTGAGAGTCTACCCGGCCCCTCCCCAACCAGCTCCCTATTGAGCCTCCCGTCCTGCCTTGACATTCTGCTTGTCTCATCTCCTGGAGGACAGCACAGCATGGAGTGGGTCCTGATGCTGCTGCTGCTGTCACTAACACCCGTGCAGGCTGGTGAATATCCGGTACCACCCTGGCAGGGGCTCTGCCCAAACCACAGGAGGAGCCAATGGGACTGGGACAGTGGCTGGGCATGTGCAGAGGGCTCTGTTGGAGGAAGTGGCCAGGCCTCCCACCCCCAACAAAAGGCTGGTTCCATAGGGTGTGTCCACTCTCGTCCCTTTACCCTCTTTCCTCCTCTGAGTCTGGAGAGGGGGGGACAACAGGCCAGAGGGACACTCCTGCCATCTGTCACACAATTGCCTGTCGATGAAGGTGCAGGATGGGTTGGTGTTATCCTCTTTGTCTCCTGCAGTGGCTTCAATTTCTTCCTTCTCCCCTAGGTAACTCAGCAGGATTCACCCCAAAAAACCTTGCTGAGGTCAAACAAGAGAAACATCTCTCTGGCTTCAAAGGCGGCTCCATCCAAATCCCCTTCTCCTTCTCCTACCCCTGGGAGTTGGCCATGGATCCCCAGGTGAGAATATTCTGGAGATGGAAGCACTTCCATGGAGAATTTATCTATAACACAACCCCATCATTCACTCATAAGGATTTCTGGGACCGGCTCAGCCTGAACTGGACAAAGGGTCGGAACTCCGGCTTCCTCAGCATCCAGAACCTGCGGAAGAAGGACGAGACGACGTACTTTTGCAGAGTCCAACTGAACACGCTTAGAGATGGCCAGCAGATGTGGCAGTCCATTGAGGGGACCACACTCACCGTCACCAACGGTGAGGCTTTGGTGCCCCTTGGGTCCCTGTCCTCTAGATGTCACCTTAGGCTGTACAACTTCTGACCCTTCTCTCAGAATCATCCCTGCCCCTCACCCTTTCCCCAGACCTCTGCCAACTTTATCTTTTTTCTTCCCCTTAACCATCTCTAAACATGACCCTCTTTCCCCATCCTTTCTCCTGTCTGTCCCCTCAGGATTCAGCACCATTCTAACTCCGCAGACCTCAGCCCCTATCACAAGTCCCAGTTTGCTTCCTTCTTGCTCCAAACTGGCAGTGTAGACATGGCTGGCTCCTGCCCTCACCACCTGACTTCCAGGTGATCTGGCTTCTTCAGGATGCGGTGCCTTCACTTTGTCATAAATGACCCCGGTTTCTTCTCTTCCCTCCCATTTCCCTCTTCTCCAGCTCCTTGCTCACCCACCAGCTCCAGCTCTCTCACACAAATCCCCATGCTCTTCCAGTCACAATGTCCCCTTTTTTCCCCACGATCTCACTCCTCTGTCCTTCTGGTCACTTTAGAGTCACCTCTGCAGCAGCAGCAACTGCAGCTTCCACTTAACTGGTGTACCATGGCCTGGCCTAGTGATTTTCTGCCCACTACCCTAATGACCTTCACCACAACCCTGCAACAGTTGTAGGAAGTCTTGTTGTCATTGTACAGATAGGGGCACTGAGATCAGCAGAACCTAAACACCTCCCAAAGTCACCCTAGCGTTGCATAGGACTTGAAAAGGACAGTTTCACTGCAACCAGTAGCCAACGACTTCCCCTATCGAGTTGGTCCCACTGCTTGTTCTGACCAATTTTAATTACACCTCTGTAGAGGTGTTGGAATTAGAACCTCAATTCCTGATCTACAGAGCAGTGCAGTGGAGTGGAGGCTTCTCAGGGCAAGCAATAAAGTAGTGGATTTATTGTTGGTAGAAAAAGTTCTTACAAATTAATAATCCTCTAAGTGGTTTTGTTTTTTATACTCACTTGCTCTGGCATTGGTCAACAAGGTCATTGATAAATAGCTCCTCCCTCCCGGATGGACACTCACGCTTCCCCCTGGAAAATCACTGCTCTGTCTTAACCACTGTGCTGGGAGAGCACATGGCGAGGCCCCACAGTCTGAACTGAGCAAGACAGTCATGGACTATCTGTACCTCCTACTGTACCTCCTGTACCTCCTCCTCCTGATGGCCTTTTGTGAGAGATTTTGGTTCTTTTCAGCCCCTCAGTCCTCCTTCCTCCTTCCCTAATTCCTCCTTGCCTACTCCTATCTTTGATTCACTCAGATTCACTATGAGGTTTTTGTGTTGTTTTGGTTTATTTTCAGTTTGTTTAGTTTTTTATTTTGTTTTCGTGGTGCTGGAAACCAATCCCAGGCCTTGTGCATGTTAGGCAAGCACTCCACCACTGAGCTACACCCCAGTCCTGCTGTGTTAGCTTTCTGTCACTGTGACAAAAATACCTGTGAGAATCAGCTCGAAGGAGGAAAGATTTATTTTGACTCATGTGTTTTGGAGGTTGCTGTCCAAGGTTGCTTGGTCCTGTCACTTTGGACCTCTGGGGTGATACTGAAAGGACTTCATGGCATGAAGTACACAGTGGAAGAAAGCTGCTCACCTCCTGGTGGCCAGGAAGCAAATGAAGAGCGAGGTGGGGCTAGGTTCCCAACTTACCCCTTAGGCACACCCACCAATGGCCTAATTTCCCTCTACTAGGACCCACTTACTAAAGTTTCTACCAGCTCCCAATAGCTTCATTGGCTGAGAACCAAGACTTAAACAAGTGTGTTTCTGGGGACATTTAAAATTCAAACTGTAGCTAGTCAGGAGGCAAAGATAAGAAGATCATGGTCCATGATAGCCTGAGGACAAAGTTAGCAAGACCCATCCCAAACAAGCTAGGCACGTGAGTACATGTCTGTAATCCCAACTACTGGGAGGCATGGATAGGACATTCATGATCTGAGCCCTGCCCCGGGTAAAAACATCAGTCTCAATCAAAAAATAACTAAAGGAAAAAGGAGCTGAAGGGATTGCTAGACTGCCTGCCTAGCAAGCCAAGGCTCTGCGTTCAAACCCCATTACTGAGAAAAGAAAGATCCAAATTTTAACAACCACCATGAGCTTTTTTAACTTGCATTTTTTTCATTTAATTCTATTAATTAAATAGTGATTATTTTAAAAACCAAAACACTTGAACTGCAGTATCAGCATACAAAGATATCACAAGCTAAAAGAACATTTGTAGAGAGTGTAAGTGTGTGGTTGACTTGTTAAATTTTTGACATAATTTTGTTTTTTCCCACACAATCTAATAGTATTCTCCTTTGTAATTTTTTTCCTTTAATTTATAAGAGAAAATGCCTCTACCACTAGAGGATGATAATATTTGCTTTGATTTGTCTTATTATGTTTTGTGTTTTGGAGGTCCAGGATTTGAACTTGGCCTCACTCTTGCTAGGCTTGTGCTCTACCACTTAAGCCACGCCCTCAGCCCATTTTTTTGTTTGTTTGTTTGTTTATTTGCCTTCAGTTATTGTCCAAGTAGTGTCCCACATTTTCCGCCTGAGCTGGCCTGAATTATTATCTATGGGGACAACTGATAACGTCAAAACTCTGTAACAGCAAGAACGATTGAATATATCAGGTGTCCCAAACAAAGGGCATCACTCAGCCTAAAGCAAATTTCAGCCAAATCCAACCCACTGTTTCATTATAAACACCACTGATGTTAGAGCACTCGTTGCACATTTTTTGGGAGGGGGATGGAATTGGGGTCTGAACTCAGGGCTTTGTGCTTACAAGCAGGTGCTCTACTGCCTGAGCCACACCTCCAATCTGTTTTGCTGTGGTTATTTTTAGAGATGGGGTCTCACAGACTACTTGCCTGGGCTGTCCAGAAACCACAGTCCTCCCGATCTCAGCTTTCCAAGTAGCTAGGATGATGGGTGTGAGCCACCAGCACCCAGCACGCATTGTCCTTTTTATCAGATGTGCATGCATCCATGTCTGAGTGTGTACTATCTTTTCTTTGCTTTGCTTTACTAATAAACTTTCTTGGCCTCTATCTCAGCATTTCCTAAAATTCTTTTTTTGTTTGTTTTGGTGGCACTGGGATTTGAACTCAGGGCCTCACACTTGCTAGGCAGGCACTCTTACTTCTTGGGCCACTCCACCAACCCTTCCTAAAATTCTTTTTTGTGACAGTGTCATGAGCTTACTACCAAAAGGCCAGTCCTCCCTGAAACCTTACTGGTTCCAGTAACAATTTCATTTCTATTCACAATAAACACTCTTTCACGTAGTGAGTTTATGCTGGTATTGATCTTTTTAACAAGCAACAAATCAATTATCTCATACCATTTATCCAATACATTTTTCTCTTCCCTGTTGTAACAGTAGGCCTGTTTTTTGTTTTTCTTTTGTTTCTGTTGGATGTGGCACTCAGGATGGAACCTACAGCCTCAGACATGCTAGGCAAGAGCTCTGCATTGAACTTACCCCCAACAGTAAACACTGTCTGTAAATTCTTTTGTACACCATCATCTATTTCTGCTCACTAATCTGTTTCACCATTCTGTCTTTTCTTACTTCCGTACCACACTGTCTTAGTGACTATAACTTTATTACATGTTTCAATGGCTAATCTCAACCACATTAATTTTTCTGAAAACTTTGTTATTGCTGCCTTCCTCTTCTTCCACATAAATGTTAAAATGAGTTTGCCAAATTCCAAGAAAAATACTCATCGGGATCTTTTAAATCACAATTGCATTAAAACTATACAGCAGCCAGGCACAGAGATCAGGAGGATTGCAGTTCAAAGTCAGCTTAGGCAAAAAATTCGTGAGACCCTCTCTCAAAAAAACCCAACACAGGGGTTGGTGGAGTGGCTCAAGAGGTAGAGCACCTGCCTAGCAAGTGGGAGGATCTGAGGATCTGAGTTCAAACCCTAGCACCACCGGAAAAACAAACAAAAAAACCCATTAAGCAAATGACAGAAACTGAAATCAGTGAGAAACCAAGAGTGGTATTCCAGAAACCAAGTGAGAAATCCAAACAGGAAGTATCAAATGTTGAGTAGCCAAGCATGGTGACACATGCCAGTAGTCTCAACTACTGTGGAGGCTGAGAGAGGAAAATCATTAGGACCCAAGAGTTTCACATCAGCCAGGAAACACAGCAATATCCTGTCTCAAAAAATGAAAGCTGGAGTTAAGCTTGGTGGCTCTCATCTGTAATCCTAGCTTCTGGGAAGGGCTGGTCAAGTGGTAGAGCACCAGCCCAGTGAGATGAGGCCCTGAGTTCAAATCCCCGAAATGCCCACCACCGACACACACACACACACACACACACACACACACACACACACACACAAAGAAGGCTGCATAGTATTCCCTCTGGGGCTGTGTGTCATGATTTATTTAGTCAGTCTCCTAACAACATTTTAGTTGTTCCATGTCACACGCAACGCTACAAAGCACGCCCTTTAAACACCTGCCTCTCATTTCTTAGACAAACATTTCCATAGCAGAAATTACTGAGGAAAAAGGTAGACCTGGGTCTTTCCCATTTTGATAGCTGTCCCCAAAATGTATTCCCAAAAGCTATGTTAGTTTATGCTCCCACTGTGAATAACAGTCCCTCTACTGCTAAGCTCTTGCCATCGCTAGGTATTTTCCTCCACTCAGAGCATACTTTTTTTTTTAACATAGCCTTTGTTTTTAATCTGCCTTTTAAAACAGATATTAGCATTAGGGTTATGGTATCCTTTTATGAAATGAGGTAGAATTACAACAGCGTTTTCCGTATTCTATGTTCTGCATACTTGTGATTGGACGTTATCTATCCCTTACATTTTTATAAGAATTCAGCCAGGTGGGGCATGGTGGTACACAGCTGTAATCCCAGCATTCAGGAGGCTGAGGTAGAACAATCTCAACTTTGAGGTCAATTTAAGCTACATAGAGAGAACCAGTCTCAAAAATAAATTATGCAGAAAGCTCCCTGAATGTTCTCAATTTCTTCTTTGTTATACATCAGTTCATGCTTATTACTTTTTAAATCAATTTAATTTTTTTTGTTTCAAAAAATAGTTATCCAGGGTGGAGTGGCTCAGGTGGTAGAGTGTGTGCTTAGCAAGCATGAGGCCCTGAGTTCAAACCCCAGTACTGCCAAAATATAAAAGAAAAGAAAGATGAAAAGGCTCTGGGATTGGAAGTAGTGATAATTGCACAGCAAAATCGACGTATTCGTGCCACTGAACTGTACACTAGCATATGGTTACAACAATATATTTCACCTTGTGTATACTTACAGCAACAAAAATATTTTTTCCCGTGACTTAGTTACCAGTGTTTGTTAAGTGAAGAAGTAAAGGCCCAAGGACACACCATTGATACATGGTGTAGAGTCAGGATTTAAAGTCAGTTATCTGAATTCTAAGCTTTTAGCGCCTCTCCTTGTTTCTCCCTCCCCGTATGAACTTCTGAGAGCTGCCTCCCCCCCGTCATGTTCCCCCAAACAATACAAAATCTGATACTTTCTCCCAGGAACCCCCACTACTCACGGATCTGCTTCATTCTCCATTCTCCCCAGCAGACATGACCACCATGCAGAGCTCCACCAGCTTAACCTCTGCACATACCACAGCTGACCCCAAAGTCACAGAGGATGAGAAGATCTGGGAGTCTTGGCCCCTAAATGTGGGAGCTGCAGTTGGAGTGACAGTGGCCACTGTTCTGCTCATAATCCCAGTTTTGGGAATGATGGTCTTCCTCAGGTGGAACAGAATGTAAGTGGCCCAGAACAGGCTCTCTTCCCAAGCCTCCCAACTGAGTGTTCCTCACCACCTGCATTAGCATCATTGAAGGTGCTTGGTAAATATGCAGATCCCTAGCTGGGCAGGGTGGTACATGCCTGTAATCCCAGATCCTCTTGAGCTGAGGCAGAGGGATGAGGTTAGTCAGAGCTACACAGCAAGACCCCGTCTCAAAATAAACATTTTTAAAAAGTGTTGAGTGGGGGGAAACTGGTGCTCAGTAGTATTGCATTTGCATATTTTGAGTAAGGCTCTCAATCCAGGTAGAAACAAAAAGGGAAAAAAAATGTACTTCCCTGCTGGGCTCCATTCAAACCTAGCAGGTCAGGCTCTGAGGCATGTTCTTGGGAAACTGCACCTTAAACAGGCTTCCCAGTAGTCTTTATGTCAGACCAAGTTTAAGAACAACTGGAGCTGGAGGAGTGGGGCAAGTGGCAGAATACCTGCCTAGCAAGTGGGAGGCCCTGAGTTTAAACCCCAGTACTGTCAAAAAAGAAAGAAAGAAAGAACAATCAAGTCTGGGTGGACTGTGGCTCAAGTGGTAGAGGGTCTGCCCGAAAAGAACAAGGCCCATAGCCATATCCATAGCCATACAATCTGATCCTTTGCCAGTCAGTTTTTTAAATGATGAGATGGAACCCAGGGCCTTGCCCATACTTGGCAAGTGCTCTGCCACTCAGAGACACACCAGCCTCTTTTTGCCAGTACTTCTCTGTTGACTTAGTCATTTCTCATCAATTCTCATCTTTTGGCTCCTGGAGAAGACAGGGCCTACCCTGGTAAATATAAGAGAGACAGGAAGTTGGCTCAACTCAGCAAGCACTGAACCAGTGCCCACTTTCATGGGGCTGGCTTAAAATTAAAGAATCAAAACCATAGCATCTGGACTGGGGCATGGCTCAAGTGCTAGAGCACTTGCCTAGCAAGGGCCAGGCCATGAACTCATGCCCCAGTGCCACCCCCCAAAAAGCACAGAGTCTCCTTTTCAAGGAACTCAGTGGGGTGAGCAGCTGCATCAAGGGATAATTGCTCAATTGGAAAGAGCTGTGGTGGTGCTAAACCAGATCAGAGAAAAAATGGAGGATTTCCCAGAGGAAGGCAAACCTGCAAAAAAAACCAAAAAACCAAACCAAAACAAAAAAACTCAAAGAATAAGCTAGGCAGGTGCCAGGGTTGGGATACAGGACACTTGCTGGCCTTCTGAGCACTGGGAAACATTCCAAGAATTGTAAGTAGATTAGTGCTGATGGACAAGGTAGAGTGTGACCAAAGGGGACAATGCACTCTGATCCATCCCAGAGGAAAGCAGAGCAGTCAAGCAGCCACCTCAGTTCTCTGCTATGAGCACATGTGTGGAGGTCAGGCTGGAGGTGGACCAGGCTGAATCAGTCTAAAGCAGTGATGCTGGATGTGGAGGGAAATAGCTGGGTCCAGAGAGGCTAAGATGCAAAAACAGTAAGACATAGTGATTAGATTGATAGAGGAGCCACGGTGAAGAACAAGTCTCATGTTTTCAACTTGGGAATAAAATGGTTGTGATGAAACCACCAAGCAATATAGAGAACATAAGAGGAAGTCCAAGTTTCAGGGGAAGATGACTGCTGGAGTTTGGAATATGTCATATTTAAGAGGCCTATGTGAATCTCAGTTGTCCATGATAAACTGGGATCTATGCATCACACAAAACTAGATAGATTGTTTATACACCAACTTCCTGCAAAATTGACTTGAAACTACTTTCAAGAAAACTGGTAAGCTGGGGCATGGTGGCTCATGCGTATAATCTCAGTTAGTTTCAAGGCAAAGATAGGAGGATTGCAGTTTGAGGCCAGCCCAGGTCCCCACCTCCAAAAAAGTCAGTGAGACCCTATTTCAAAGAACAAGCAGGGCATAGGGGCTCACACCTGTAATCCCATCTGCATATAAAGTGTATGTAGGACAATAGTGATCTAAGACTGACCTGTGCAAACAGTACAAAACCCTATCTGAAAAATAACTAAAGCAAAAAAGGACTTGAGGTGTGGTTGAAGTGGCAGAGCCCTTGCCTAGTAAATACAAGGCTCTGAGTTTAATCCCATGTACCACTAAAAAAGAAAGAGAGAAAGAGAGAGAGAGAGAGGAGAGAGAGAGAGAAAGGGAGAAGAAAGAAAGGAAGGAAGGAAGGAGAGAGAGAGAGAAGGAAAGAGAGAACAGGAGAAAGAAAGAAAGAGAGAAAGAAAGAAAAGAGAGAGAAAGAAAAAAGAGAAAAAGAATTGGGAAGAAAGAAAGAATTGGGAAGGAGGAAGGAAGGAAAGAGAAAGAGAGAAAGAAAAACAAAGAAAGATGGAAGGAAGGAAGGAAAGAAGGAAGAAAAATATATGTGGGAATTTAGTATTACAAGGTAGCATTTTAATCAAGGAGAAAGGGGTATTTCAACAAGTAGCACTAGGTCAACTGGGTACCCTTCTGAGAAAACAATGTTAAGTCCTGCCTCATACCTGTTAAATCTGCAGAGGGCTGAGCTGTACCTCAGTGGGACATTGCACTCCTAACATGCACTGGCCCTGGGATTGATCCACAGCTCAACAGACACACAAAAATAATCTATAGAAAGATTTGAATAAGGAAAAATAATCTTAGTGGAAAAAAACATCTGAGACTATTGACTAACATAGAGTGGAAATGACCTCCCTAGGGAAGACAAAACCCAATAGTTATGAATGAAAAGATCGATAAACTCACCTACTTAAAAGCTTTTAATTTTTTTACACAACAAAACTATAGTGATTATCTCCTGGGAATGAGGAAGATCAGAGATTTGAAGAGAACGCTTGATATAGTCAGAGGAAATACAAGCTGGGCTTGACAATTCAACTCACACAAGAAACTGAAAATCTGTAAAACTATGATGGCTCAGGGTGGTTTTCTCCATCAGCATTCAACCATTTGGGACTAAAAACCTTAAGACCATGTGTTGGTTAGGAATTGTGCTCAGCTTGTGGCACCAGAGATGAGAACTAATAGCAACTTAAATAAGACAGAGTTTTGACTTATTTTTCCTCTTCTAAAAGGAAATGAAGGCATATAAACAGAGGCCACTGTCCTCAGACTCAGGCTTCTACCAAAACAAGTATAGTACTGGCACAAAGACAGACAAATGGACCAATGGAACAGAGTAGAGAACTTTGAATATATGGTCAAATGGTCTTCAAGAAGCATGCCAAGACCACTCACTAGGGAAAACAGAAGAGATCAACTGAGGTAGGAGAGGAATGGGTCCAAGATGGCAGCCAATTGGGTCCAAGATGGATTCCAATCATGAGGCTGAATCTGTGAGGGTGGAAACAGCCAGCACTTGGAGGGAAACTGAGATGCTATCTGTATGGAGGTAAGGAGGGGAAAAGTAGGGAGTCCAAAGTGAGGAGAAGGAAACAAAGGGATGAGGAGAAGATGGGCCCAGAAGAGCTTGTTTTAGGATTTGCTGTGGAGAAAAACAGGACAGCTGGGTTGACTTCAGGGTTCTGGTGATTTCTAGGCCCTTCCCTGACTGGCTAGGGCAGAGCTTTTCTGTTGCCCTTTTCCTTCTAAGGACTGTCTGGAAAGACTGAGTGGTGACCCTCACCACGGATGTCACAGTAACCCACTGTTGCTCCTCCTACAGGCCAGCCAGTTGAAGCCTTAATCCCAACCAGGTGAGTGCTTGTCCTGCCAAGGGGGAGGTGGGGTAGGGATACAGGTTTGGAAGTTTCCTTATAAGAACCATGAAAGCACCTTTCACAGTTACTCTCCCATCCCAGACTCTCCCAGTTCTTATCCTCCTTTGTCCTCTTACAGACCTGGCTCTTGATTCTGCACATTCTAACCCCTGATAATGAGAACAGTGCTTGGATTTTCTGATTCTCCAACTCACTGAATTGTTTTTTCTCCAACATAGTTCCAGCAGACAGAGAACAGGGCAGACCCTTCCCATTTCTTTTGTGTGTCCCCACCAATTATCAGTAGTTTACCTATAACAGCCCACTCCACGGGACATCCCAAGCCCTAATCTAGCAGATAACTTTACCAGTGGAGCACCCTGCCTGCCCACCCTTCCCATCATGCCATCTGACGTCAGGACTCCTTGCTTTTTTTTCCCTCTTGAACAACATGCAGATCCCCCCAAAAAGAGCCCCAAGATAAGCAGCTGTGTCTAGAGCCTGAAGGAAGTAAGGGAGGTTAGGAGGTGGGATGGAAGGATGGAGGACCTGGGGTGTGGGCCTCAGCTGTAGGCAACTGCTTTAACGTAGAGGCAATTTCACTTCTGATGTCTAACCCTCTCTTGGTTCTTGCCCAGGATGGTAGCATCACCTATGCCTTCCAACTCGACCTCACCAAGACCACCTCCCTGCCCCATCTCAGGACGAGACCTACTGAGTGAGACTGAGTCACTTACAGTCCCGATAGGAAGAGTCACAGCTTCTAATAATGACCAACTCCACAGCCAGAAGCATGGGTGAAGTGGTAGGGCACCTGACTAGCCAGCAGTTTGCCCTGACTTCAAACCCAGCACCACAAAAAGAAAGTAAAGAAAGGAAGAGAACGAGAGAGAGAAAAGGAGGAAGGAAGAGAGAAAAGAAAGAAAGGGAGAGAGAGAGAGCGGAGAGAGAAAAAGCTTAGGGAGGCGGACAACTCAGCAAGTCTGAAGGTTACAAAGAAAGGGAAGTAGCTGTCGACTCCAGTCCCTCTCTAATTCCCTCATGTTCCCACAAAAATAAAAATACTCACAGCATTTGCCTAAAAGAGTTCTCTAAGGAGAAAACTAATGTGACCTTGTACTTCTGTCCCTCCCACTAAAAGTAAATTCCAGAAGACCACCCACATCCTGCTAGCACTTTTGGGTTTTTTTTTCCAGTGACTGCCTCAATCCAGTGAACACGAAGCCATAACTAAAGTGTGCTCCTAAATCCAAAAATACTCCCCCCTGAGACAGATCTAAGGGTGTTTGAGGTGAGAGTGCTAATTCCTTAATAAATCTTTATTGTGAGCATCCTTTGCTATTTTTCCTCTTTGAATGATCAAAGCTGTGGTGGCCAGGTCACATGGCCATTTGACTGACAGTTGACAAATCCAACTGACTTTGAGTGAGGAGTTAACATTCACGCAACCACTTCTTTTAATAACTGGTTGACTGTCATGGCAGCCTAGCTGCTTAAAGGCATCAAGAATGTGTGTTTTTGTTTTTTGTGGTACTGGAGCCTAAACTCAGGGCCTTCACCTTGAACCACTCCACCAGCCCTATTTTTGTGAAGGTGTTTTTCAAGATAGGGTCCCGTAAACTATTTGCCCAGGCTGGCTTTGCACTGCGATCCTCCTGATCTCTGCCTCCTGAGTAGCTAGGATTACAGGTGTGAGCCACCAGTGCCTGGCAACATGTGTAATCTTATTACTATCTTTACAGATTTACAGTTTTGGTTTTTGTTTGTTTTTGCTTTTTATTTTTGTGGTACTGGGGTTTGAACTCAGGGCCTCATGCTTATTAGGCAGGCGCTCTACCACTTGAGCCACTCTGCAGCCCAAGAATGCTCTGTGGAAACTCCATTCCCCCTGTAAAGATCACTGGAACCATGGCCTTGCTGAAACCACAGCTTCTGCTTCGGGAGACCTTGCTCCAGTCACAACCACTCCAGACAGCTTATAACTGCTCCAGGGGACTTCCCAATAAAAGTCTCTCCTGACTGGTCTTTTATTGTGCAATTTTGCTTTTTATCAGGGGTACAGTGGACTGAGCAGGTTGTATGAAGAGCAGATACCATCCTGCGGTGTTCAGTCCCAGCAGGGTCTACAGCAGCAGTAAGAAATTAACTGAGGATTTCCAGAGAAAGGACTGAATTACTGAGAGCAGAAGGTGAGAAACTGTGAAGAACTGAATGCAATAGGCAGTAAAGAGAGAGAACATCGAGAGCAATGAGCACTGGTCACTGGCAGAGTTCCAGAGAACTGTTAAGGGTTAAGAGCTAATGTCCTGACACCCATTGTGCAATAGCTGTAACCCCGGATAGTGGGTGCATTAAGTCCTTGGCATTGAAAGACTGGCGCCGTAAACTTCTAGTTCTCAGGGCTAAAGCAGAAGTCTCTGGGTTTAGAATCCCTGACCATAAACCTCAGGCTCTCAAGAGCTCAGAGCTGGCAATGCCAAGGGAACATGAATTTTATGACCCTCACTCATCTCTTTGAGACATCCTCACCATAATAACTAGCATGCATTTGGGGCTGCTTTACACACATCATCTCAATAGAGCATCGTCAACAACGCTAGGGAGACGATGTGTCCATGTGAGGCAAAGACATAAAAGCCAGGTGCTTCAAGTGCTTTTCCAAGGCCATGCAGCTAGCTAGAGAGTAGCTGGGCCAGGACTGGAACCAAGACCTGCCTTCTGGAGGTTCTCCCAGGAATTGGGACTTAGTGTCTTCCCCAGATGCTGGCCTCCCACCAGAGATGATGACAGGCCATAGTGACATGGGGAAGAGGGAAAAAAGCCAAAAGGAAGCATGTAGTCAGACATAATCCTAACCAATCACACCAGAAACCTGCTTGATTAACACAGCAACTACACAGCTTGGACTTGAGCCTTGTATCCAACCAACAATCCCAGCACTCAAAAGCTTCTTAGAGACAGAGTTGAGAGGCTTTCCCTGCTGCTCCAGAGAACAGAAGGAGGACGGGGCACACCACTACTCCTCAGAGAAGGCCATGGTGAGAACTTCTCTGAGAGCGTCGTCTCTGTGCTGCAGGTCCCCCCTCTCCTCTGACTCTCTTTCAAAATCTTCTATGAAGGTGCAGGTCACTGCAGGATTCATCCTTAGGTAAAGACACTAACACCATCCTCAGTCAGTGGTTTCTGGGGCCGAGGCCCTGATTTCCCACTGAAGGTCAGGCCCTTTGGCACCATTCTAACTTCCTTTTCTTCAGACAAGTTCTTGCCCAGGACTTGCTTCTGGGAACTTATTTTTTTTTCTCCTTAGGGCCCAAATGAAAAGGGGATAAAGTTGCAGTCAGTCTATCCTGACTTTTTACAAGCCAATTCCTACATTCCTGCCCAAAAAAAAAAAAAAGCTGTGGAAGAGACAAACTCTCAGTACAAAGAATATGGGCTTTGCAGTCAGAAAGAGTTGGTTTCAGGCTATATGCTCAAACACAGTTCTTGAACAAATTTTAAACTGTCTAAGCCTCGGCTTCCTTATATTTAAAATGTCAAATACCCAAACAGATCTGTTGAATAAAGTGGCTGTCTGGAGAAGAATCCACTGTCTGAGATTTATGTTACCTTCAAGTGTCTAGTTTTGCTGCTGCCTGATAAAGCCAATAACTGGAGAGTCAGAACGGCGGGGGAAGAAAATTGGAACAAATTGCAAGCTGGAAGATGGGGACTAATGTCCAAAAGAGGGGAAAAAAATCATTTTGCTTATGTACTGCAGGCATGAGGCTTTTCTATATGAATTTGGAGGAGGTATAGCTAAGATATGGATATGAGGGTGAGTACATATTTCCAAGTTTTTGCTTTTCTGACTTGCAGGCTGCTATGTGTCACCAGATGTCCTGGGTTCTATAAATCTAGAGGAAAAGTACTTATGAGTAAATCTCTCTCTCTCTCTCTTTCTCTCTCTCTCTGTCTCTCTTTCCCTCTCTCTGAGACAGGGTTTCACTAGTGTAGCACAGGTTAGCCTCAAACCTGTAATGCTCATACCTCTGCCTCTCGAGTGCTGAAATTACAGGCATGAACCACCATGACCTCTGATTAGTAAATTTTATCACACATGTTTTTTTAGTTCCATTTCCCAGGTGAAGCTAACTTTACACTTAATCCTCAGCCAAAAGACATCTTTTCCTGGAGTTATGGAAGATAGCAAATGGTAACTTTCACCAAAGACTGGTTTTAACCCATTAGCAAAGTTAGTGGAAACCAATAATATACTGCTCAGTTGAGAACTGGTATCATGGCCCATGTGCTTTGCAAGCACGAAGTCCTGAGTTCAAACCCCAGTACCACCAAAAAAAAAAAAGAATGTAAATAATACATTGCTCAGTTACATGACCTCCCAAATTAGTGATTTTTATAATCAGCTAGAAACAAATGAAGCTAGAGGATGATTTAGGTTTTCCCTTGGTTACCACCTCCGCCTCTGATCTTTGTTCAATCCTCCATCTTGAGGAGTTTGGGGCAATGACTCATCTGGCTATGTCCTCCTGAACCAGGGCATAGACCTGGGTTAGAAAATGAAACTCCTTAGCACTCTTTTAGATATATTTGTAGGTTCCCTCTCTCTAGCAAACTAGTACTAGAAGTACATGAGAGGGGGCATGCTTGGTCTTTACATAACAAGTGAAGCATATGAATATTATCTTCAAACTAGCCAGCTACTTAAGCCAAAAGTAAAACTCACCATTATGAAATGAAAAAAAAGAACACGAAAGGAAAAGTTCCAGCTAGATAAATCATGAAGTTTTCCTCTCAATCTAAATGACTCCATGAAAACAGATTTGGAGCTAAATAGCCACATTCTTGTCTTTACCTAAACAGAGGGCCCTTATCAGAAGTGTGAATTCTGCCATTTGGGTGGAGATGTCTGTTGGAAGGAAATTCTGATCCCAGTGTCTTTTGTTCTAGTACACAATCACTTAACCAGTCTTTGCTCCACAAAACTGCTTAACATCTAGATTCTCCAGTGGCAGTTCTGTTAGATCAGGCTCAACTTTGAAATTTTGCATCAGGACAAATTTTAATACATATAGACATTGCTGTGTCTGCCTGTGCTGGCCTTCCATTTGCCCACACACCTGGTCTTTCCTCCTGTGATTCTTCTTCAGGAATTTCTGTGTAAGCTGTGACCATGGCCAAGCCTTTCGTAATACCTACAAGCAGACAGCCATTCACAAGAATCCTTTCCTGGCTTTATTTACTTTTGGGCGGAGTTGATAGAAGCAACTCCAACTTTTATTCTGAGAGCCTTTAAATTTTTCTTATGTTCCCCCTTGTCTTTGAATGATTTTTTTCTCTGAAAACATGTTTGCTCAACCCTCTAGACTGATTGTCCCTTGTTGTGAGAATGGAACTGACCCAGCTGTTGGTCTGATTTTGTCCCTCTTAGAGGGAAAATTATTGCCTGGGAGTCAGTGTCAAACCCTTTAACACATTTGAGCAAAAAAAGGTTGAAAAACGTGGATTTCAGACTAAACATAAACCTAAGACCAAGGATTTATATTTTATTATAGGCTTAGTATCACCCTTTGTGGGTTTTTAAGTACAGCAAGAAGATGACCAGATTGACACTATAAAAAGACTACTTTGACTGCTTGGCAGAGAAGGTTTGTGTATATTGAGATGAAGATCAGGTGAGAGTAGACAAGAGAAGACACAAGAAGTGCCTGGGATACCCCAGGTAGGAGATGGGCCTGGAATTTGTGTGTTGGAGTGTGGAGAGAAAGAAGTGGATGGATCCACAATCTATGTTGGAGACAGAATTGTTCTGGCTGTGGGGAGAGAAAATAAGGATGGTCTCAAGGTCACCTCCAGTTTTCTGGCTTGAGCAACAAGGTGGGGGTCAGATGCCACTAGCTGAAATGGAAGATAGAAGTGAAACCAGAGTTTTGGACCCAGGGCCCAAACTTCTGAGATTCCATATGCCAGGTCTGGCCACCTGCCCCTAAACACCAAATGAAGTGGACTGGTGAAGGCAGAGAAAGGAGGTTTATTACATGAAGGGGACATGCCATGGGAAGAGGCAGAGTGAGCACTCAGTTAGCTCATCTGCCATCTTCGAGGTACAGACATAAGCCATATGTTTAAATAGACAAAAGAACTGGGGCCAGGAGACAAAGGTACGCATAGTTACATAGTCAGTCACAGGTGTAATCATGACTGGCAGAGCATTCTTGGTCAGGTAGGTGGTCTGGTCCAGTATTGGAAGTTATCACCTGGAGGGAGTAATCTGGTTCCTGTTTGAGAGGATTCTTGGGATAACTGTCCTTACTGGGAGGGTGACAGCTCCAGGTGGCTCCAGTTCATTGTCATAAAGATATTATCAGACCTTTTTGAATCCAAGGTGATTGTAAAGTGACTGTAAAGAGAATGGCTTAGCGCAAAGACAGATAAAAAACGGAGACAGAGAAACCAAGCTTTTCCTGTTTTTAGTTAATTTGTGGGCTGGAGTAAGGAGTCAGTGCTTTTCAGCAAAAGCAACTTGAGCACCTCTTATAGAAGCAGGATAGGGATGAGTCAAGGGGCTAACGACAGCGTCTGTTGAGATGCCAGAGCCACAGATGAGGGCCAGGAGCACTGACACCTCTTCACACCCAGCAGGCATCTGCATGCGAAATGTTCCTGGGAGAAATCAGGGCTGTACACTAACATTGAGGTGTATGGTGGTCATGGATTGCAAGGCTCAGAGTGAAGCAGCCCGTTCTCCATAGATGGATCCACAGCCCACAACTTCCCTTCATCAAAACACCAGCAGATTTCCTGGTAGAAGTTGACTAACTGATTGTAAAAATTTCAGACTGGCTGGCCTTGGGAGGAGTGGTCTCGTCCCCAGTATGTGAGGCCACAGATGCCAGAAAATCAACAAGACAGAAAATAAGGAAATAGAGCTAGCACACTGGGCTCTGTGATGAATAAAAGACAAACAGCCCAACCCAGAATAGAAGAATGCCCATGTATGTGGACCAAGGCAGGGGTGCATGTAGGGGCAAGGGGCTGCAGCAGGGATGGCCATGACCAGGAAAGGAGAACAGCAGTTTGGGGAGAGCTAAGGCAGCTGCTGTCAAATAGAGACCTGCCCTATTTCTGTCTCTGCTGCATCTGAAGCTGATCCTCCCCATGGCCAACTGTTAGGAAAAATGACTGCATTAGGCTAGACTCAACTTTGAACCCCCAAGTTCCAGGTTCTCCTGGTCCCCAAAGTCTTCCCCATACCCAAGTGAAAGCAGCATGGCTTGAGGTGATTCTCAGTCCCTGTCTTATTGGGTGGAGACAGAATTAGCAGCTCAGGAGACTGCACAGAAATCACATCCTACTACAGAATCCCCCTCATGAGGTTTTAACAGGGTCCGGTGACACAGTGTATGACTTGTATGTGAGGAGAAAGCAGGTAGCAGTTGTGGGACCTTTGCACATGAGACAGTGGACCTTGTGGAGGCTGCCAGAACCTGTTCTATAAAAGTTCTGTGGGACCCAGCAGCTGGCCCTTGTCACCTCTGCTGGTGTCCAGCCAGCTCCTTGGGTAGCTTGGCAATCAGGTGACTTTCTACCCATAGCTATAGACAGATAAGCAGGACAAGGGTAGAACGGAACCCACAAGTCAGTCTCAGGCCTCAGGCCTCTCAGCCTTTACACCCTGCTGACAGTGAGTTCCTCGTCCTCCTTGTGCCCACCCTCCCATTTGGGATCAATTCAGCCCAAAGGCTCAATGCCCATTTCCCATGAGTACAACGGAGATAACAGTATGTCCACCAGAAAACGTTAGAAGCAGAGAATGGGGAAATGGGTGTTCAGAGCCTGGCTCAGGTCAATGGATCCCAGAAACATGTGACCTATGAGGACAGGTAAGGAAAGCAGACATGAAAGAGGGCAGAGGCTGCCCAGCTGGCCTGGGGGGCAGCGTAGAAGAGGCAATTAGGATTAAGGGAAAGCTAGGAAAAAGGGAAGTCAGCCTCTGCATAAGTGAGGAGTGATTTCAGGAGGCTGATGTCACTTCTTCTGGTGCAATCATGTCTTCCTGCCCCACCTCCCCTAAGTAATCTGATGTTAATGTCTCAGTGGGAGGAGGTGCAGAGCCACCTACAGAACCAGCTCTGTGTGTCACCAAAACCTCTCTGTTCCTGATCTCTCCCCCACCCACTCGTCACCAGTTACAGGGTGGCAGAATCAGAACGTCTCATGGGCTTCTTTGCTTCCTCCGTCCAAGTTAGGTTCTAGTATGGCCAGCTGTGGAGGAAATCACCTCAGAGCTTTATGAAAATACATCTTCTGGGGTCCCCACAAACAGAGCTTTGGCATTTGAAAGGTGATGCCCAGAGACTCTGCCGTGCAGCCAGCCCAAAGCCCTCAGTTGAGCAGAAGCCTAAGTGGACTCAGCAGGACTGGAGGTCCAGTCCCTGATCCACCATGTGACAATTATATGGCCTGGGCCAATATAGCTCTGAGCTCCTATATGGTGGGAGGGCAGAGAGGAACCTGCAGAGGCAGGCATGCCAACCGGGGGTCACTCTCTAAGTGAGTGGTTCTGTCATCTATGAACCCCAGGGAAAATGTGGAGTTGGCACCAGGGAGAAGGCCAGGGGGAAGAGGGGCAACCAGGCCTTGGTTCTATCTAGAGACTAATGGGAGCCTCTGCCCAGCAGGGAGGGGGTAAAAAGCACACTGGGGGGTCTTGGTGCTAGGGCTGAGGACTGAGAGCAGGTTCCCACCATCATTTTCCTCATTCTAAGAGCTGAGCCGGCCTTCCTCTCTCTGAAAGAGCCTCTGCTGCTCTGGGGCAGTCCCTCCTCTTGGAATGAGACAGACAGGCTGGGAGACAGAATGAGAAGGAGGGAGGATGGAGTGAAGGAGAGACAGAGATACAGGGGCAAGGCACGGGTCAAGGTGGGAGAGGAGAGACCAGCCTGACAAGGACAAGGTCACGTCTCTCAGCACAAGAGAGGGGTTGAGATCCAAGGACAGGACTGTCTTGTTAGTGACCACAAAGAAGGTCTTTTTGCAATATAGGAAAAGAAGAAGCTAGATTAATAAAGGAAGTTGCTGTCCACAATGGGTGGGGATGGGAAGGTTCCAAACCTTCTTCAGTCCACGAAAGGACACCATCTCAGGATCACTACTCAACACTCTCTGACTACTGAATCCCCCACCTCCCCGAGACCAGCCATACGGCTTCTCCTACCTTGACATTCTGCTTGTCTCATCTCCTGGAGGACAGCACAGCATGGAGTGGGTCCTGATGCTGCTGCTGCTGTCACTAACACCCGTGCAGGCTGGTGAATATCCGGTACCACCCTGGCAGGGGCTCTGCCCAAACCACAGGAGGAGCCAATGGGACTGGGACAGTGGCTGGGCATGTGCAGAGGGCTCTGTTGGAGGAAGTGGCCAGGCCTCCCACCCCCAACAAAAGGCTGGTTCCATAGGGTGTGTCCACTCTCGTCCCTTTACCCTCTTTCCTCCTCTGAGTCTGGAGAGGGGGGGACAACAGGCCAGAGGGACACTCCTGCCATCTGTCACACAATTGCCTGTCGATGAAGGTGCAGGATGGGTTGGTGTTATCCTCTTTGTCTCCTGCAGTGGCTTCAATTTCTTCCTTCTCCCCTAGGTAACTCAGCAGGATTCACCCCAAAAAACCTTGCTGAGGTCAAACAAGAGAAACATCTCTCTGGCTTCAAAGGCGGCTCCATCCAAATCCCCTTCTCCTTCTCCTACCCCTGGGAGTTGCCCATGGATCCCCAGGTGAGAATATTCTGGAGATGGAAGCACTTCCATGGAGAATTTATCTATAACACAACCCCATCATTCACTCATAAGGATTTCTGGGACCGGCTCAGCCTGAACTGGACAAAGGGTCGGAACTCCGGCTTCCTCAGCATCCAGAACCTGCGGAAGAAGGACGAGACGACGTACTTTTGCAGAGTCCAACTGAACACACTTAGAGATGGCCAGCAGATGTGGCAGTCCATTGAGGGGACCGCACTCACCGTCACCAACGGTGAGTCCATTCCAGCTGAAAATTTGGTGCCTCTGGTGTTCTTGTTCCCTGGATGTAACCTCAGGGCCCACACCTTCTCTGACTCCTGTCCCTGCTGCTTTCAAGACCTCTGTCAACTGGGCACCAAGTAATCCCCCATCACCTGGTTTCCCCATTTCCCCATGTCCTCTTCCACCTTCCTTACTCTTCCCTGCCGTAGACTTTTTCCTCTCTTCCTGTTTTCTCCTTTCCTCTTTCACCCCTTGACAGCCTTCACCTTTCGCACATAGCCCACATGCTCTTCCAGTCGCAGTGCCACTTCTCACCTATGATCTTGCTCCTGTGTCGTCTGATCACTTAGAGGCACCTCTGCAGCAGCAGCAACTGCAGCTCCCCCTTACTGTGTGTACCTCAGCCTGGCCTATTAATTTTGTGCACATTACACTAGCCTATCTTCACCACCACCCTACAATAGCCCTAGGCAGTCTTGACATTGTACAGTTAGGAACACTGAGGCCAGCAGAGCATAAATCTGCCCAATGTCATGTTACTCTTGCATAAGATTTGAAAAGGACAGTTACGGCCATCTCTCTTTTTGTTTATTTATTTATTTATTTACTATTTTTGGTGGTACTGGGGTTTGAACTCAGGGTCTCACACTTGCTAGGCAGGCGCTTTACCACTTGAGCCACTTCCTCAGCTCTTAATTTGTTATGGGTTTTTTGAGATAGGGTTTCATGAACTATTTTCCCCGGGCTGGCTCCTAAGTGTGATCCTCCTGACCTCTGTCTCCTGAGTAGCTAGGATTACAGGTGTGAGCCACTGCTGCCCAGCACTGGACAGACTCTCCCCCTTAAAATACCACTGCCCAACAGAAAGATCTGGTAAACTCATGAGTAAATGTATGTTTAGTTATAGGCTGATAAATGTACAAACCTCTATGAAATGACCTTTTTTTCCCCTTTTTGTGGTACTGGGGATTGAACCTTGCTAGGCCTCGAGCAGGCTAGGCAAAGTGCTCTACATCTTGACCTATGCTCTGGCCCTTTTGTTTTTATTTCTGTTTTTGAGACTGGGTCTTACTACAACTACCTTTCCCTGGGCTCCTCCTTCCTCACCTTCTGAGTAGCTGGGCTTTCAGACGTACACCACCATGCTCAATTCAAATGGATGACTTTGTTTTAAAACTAACAAAACTTTTTGGTTTTTTGGCAGCACTGGGGTTTGAACTCAGGGCCTCATGCTTGCTTGGCAAGTGCTCTACCACTTGAGTCACTCCACCAGTCCTGTTGGGCCTTGCAAACTATTTTCCCAGCTTTGCTTTGAACCATGACCCTCCTGATCTCTGTCCCCTGAGTAGCTAGAATTATAGGTGTGAGCCACTGGTGCCTGGCTTTTATTTTCTAAATAGCAATGTTATTATACATATATTCTTTCTTTGACTAAGTAATTCTAAAATCTTTTAGCTTTCAACTGAGACATGGTATTTACACTTTAATTTCTTCTTTTTAAACTTTCATTTTAATCAGCAATTAAGTATACATACTTATGGGGTACAGTGCGATGGGTTTTTTTTAATTTTTACTGTTTTATTATTTGTATGTGCATACAATGCTTGGGTCATTTCTCTCCCGTCCCCACCCCCTCCCTTACCACCCACTCTACCCCCTCCGTCTCCCTCCCACCCCCTCAATACCCAGAAGAAACTATTTTGCCCTTATTTCTAATTTTGTTGTAGAGAGAGTATAAGCAATAATAGGAAGGAACAAGGGTTTTTGCTGGTTGAGATAAGGATAGCTATACAGGGCATTGACTCACATTGATTTCCTGTGCGTGGGTGTTACCTTCTAGGTTAATTCTTTTTGATCTCACCTTTTCTCTAGTTCCTGGTCCCCTTCTCCTATTGGCCTCAGTTGCTTTTAAGGTATCTGCTTTAGTTTCTCTGCGTTAAGGGCAACAAATGCTAGCTAGTTTTTTAGGTGTCTTACCTGTCCTCACCCCTCCCTTATGTGCTCTCGTATCATGTGATCAAAGTCCAATCCCCTTGTTGTGTTTGACCTTGATCTAATGTCTGCATATGAGGGAGAACATATGATTTTTGGTCTTTTGGGCCAGGCTAACCTCACTCAGAATGATGTTCTTCAATTCCATCCATTTACTAGAGAATGATAACATTTCATTCCTCTTTACGGCTGCATAACATTCCATTGTGTATAGATACCACATTTTCTTAATCCATTCGTCAGTGGTGGGGCATCTGGGCTGTTTCCATAACTTGGCTATTGTGAATAGTGCCGCAATAAACATGGATGTGCAGGTGCCTCTGGAGTAACCTGTGTCACAGTCTTTTGGGTATATCCCCAAGTGTGGTATTGCTGGATCAAATGGTAGATCAATGTCTAGCTTTTTAAGTAGCCTCCAAAATTTTTTCCAGAGTGGTTGTACTAGTTTACATTCCCACTAACAGTGTAAGAGGGTTCCTTTTTCCCCGCATCCTCGCCAACACCTGTTGGTGGTGGTGTTGCTGATGATGGCTATTCTAACAGGGGTGAGGTGGAATCTTAGCGTGGTTTTAATTTACATTTCCTTTATTGCTAGAGATGGTGAGCATTTTTTCATGTGTTTTTTGGCCATTTGAATTTCTTCTTTTGAGAAAGTTCTGTTTAGTTCACTTGCTCATCAGTGTGATGTTTTGATGCTTGTAACTTTTATTAATTTCTTATGAGTGGACAAACAATTTGGTCCACATTCATTTGAAGATTTAATTTTATTGTTTTCCCCTGTGTCTGACTACTGTGTCAATTTCTAAACGGTGTGTCAAGAAGGTACAGTCTGTTTATAGGATCCAAAGGTCAATAAATATCAATTTAAACTTAAACACATATTTCCAATACATACTAGGTGGTTTACAGCTTTTTTTGCACAGTCATGTTTGAGTTAATGAGGGTGTTACATTCTAGGAAATTCACTGGCATGCAGTTTCTTCCTTGTGTAAACATCAGAGTATGCTTACACAAAGTGATGTCTGTATCATTACTCAGCCATATAATTTGGGGACCACGGTTGTACATGTAGTTCACCATTGACCGAAACATTGTCATGCAACTCTTGACTTCATTAAAAACAATCCTATAGAAGTACACATACTGTACACTAGGGGTACCTAGACTAGTCAAATTCATAGAGACAGAAAGTTAACTGGTGGCTGCCTAGGATGAGGGAAGACAAAACAGGGAGTTGTTTAATGGGTACAAAGTTCTGACTTAGGAAGATGATAAAGTTCTGGAACTGGACAGTAGTGATGGCTGCATGGCAAAAGTCACTAAACTGTAAATTTACATATGGTTAAAATGCTATATTTTATGTTATATATTTACAACAATAAAAATATTTTTATAGCGGGGCACCAGTTACTCACGCCTATAATCTCAACTACTCAGGAGGCAGAGATCAGGGGGATCGTGGTTTAAAGCCAGTCCTGAGGAAACAGTTCTTGAGACCCTATCTTGAAAAAAATCCCATCACAAAAAAGGACTGGAGGCATGGCTCAAGCAGTAGAGCACCTGCCTACAAGTGTGAGGCCCTGAGTTCAAACCCCAGTGCTGCCAAAATGCCAAAAAAATAAGAATAACAATGATTTTTTATTTCTGCAATTTACTTATCACTATTTATAACTGAACATCTAAGGACAGTATAAACTTAAAGTCATCTGTATTCTAAGCTTTCAGTATTTCCCCTTCTTCCTCCTGTTTGAACTTCTGAGATACACTCCCTGATCAATTTTCCCCCAAATAAGATGCAATATGACACTTTCATCCGAGGAGGATCTGCTTACATTTCATTTTTCCCCAGACCCCATGACCACCGTGAAGACCACCACCAGTGTAGCCTCTGAAACCATCACAGTTGGTCTCAAAGTCACAGCGGGCGAGAAGAGTTCAGAGTCTCAGCCCCTGAGCCTGGGAGCTGTAGTTGGGATGGCAGTGGCCATTGCTGTGCTTGTCACTGGGATTTTGGGACTGATGGTCTTCCTCAGGTGGAAAAGAAGGAAGGGTAAGTGGTCCAGGCCTGGCCTTCTCATCATGCCTCCCAGCTGAGTGTTTCTCGGAACACACCGCATCAGACTCATTTAAGACACTTATTACAAATGCAGATACTTGCTGAGCAACTCTCAAATCCACTGAGTCAAGCTCTGTAGCCTGAGCTTGGGAATACTGCTTTGCTTTGTTTTGTTCTGTTTGTTTGTTTTTTTTTTGAGACAGGATCTCACAATGTAGGCCAAGATGACCTTGAATCCTGAGTGCTGGAATTACAGGCACAAACCCCATACCCAGCTAGGAATCTGTATTTTTAATAGGTTCCTGAAGTTTGCATCAAGTCTGAGAACCACTAATCCCTGTCCACACAATCACATCACTTGATAGTTATTCTTAATTGACTCAGTCATTTCTCCTCCTGGAGAAGGGAGGGTCTGTCTTGTGAAAGTTAAGGACAGACCAGAGGGATAAGAAATTGCCTCAGCTCAGTAAGAACTGAACCAGTGCCCACTTTCTAGGGCTTGGCTTGAATTTGGAGAATTAAAAGTAGATAAAACACAGAGTCTGCTTTTCAAGGAATTCCACAGGGTATGTAGAGGCCTCCATGCTAATTATTCATTTAGAAAGAGCTATGGTGCTGCTAAACCAAGTTGGAGGAAAGACAGGTAGTCAGGGAGGACTTCTTAGAGGAAGGAAAACCTGCAAAAAAAAAAAAAACCCTCAAGGGATAAAAATAAGCCAAGTAGGTGCAGTGTTGGGGTAGAGGGCACTCCCTGGCCTTCCAGCCAGAAGAAATCATTATAAGAACTGTAAGTAGTTCAGTACTGGTGGAGGAGGCAGGAAATGAGAGAAGGGGACCTTGTAAATCCAAGAATATCAGATCCCAGAGGCAAAGTAAAGCAGTTAAGCAGCTAACTTGCTCCCTTCTATGAGGACATCAATGTGTTGAGATCAGGCTGGAGGTGGACCAGGGTGGTCACTCTAATGCATGGAGAGAAATGCCAGGCCAGAAAAAGTCTGAGAAACTTTTTAGTCTAAGAATTGGTGACTAGGTTAATCCGGCTACAAAGGAGCTGGAGCAAATCTCATTTTCTCAATTTGGGTGAAAGACATTGTGATGAAAATGCCAACTAATATAGGGATCAAAAGAGGAAATCCATGTGAGGGTGGAAGATAACTGGTTGAGTTGGGAATGTTACATTTGAGATGCCTGGGTTGCATCCGAGTAGAGGTATATGTAGAAATTTGTATGTATGCCTCAACAGCTCAAAAGAGAGAACAGGCATTAATTGTTTATATGCCAAAATCCTCTAAAATTGATTTGAAATTACTTTTTAAAACTTTGCAATGAAGCTAGGCACCAGTGGCTCATACTTGTAATCCTAGCTGCTTGGGAGGCTGAGATCAGGATTGTGGTTTGACAAATAGTTCTCAAGACCCCATGTTCAAAATAACTAGAGCAAAATTGACTGGAGGTATGGGTCAAATGGTAGAGTACCTGCTTTGCAAGAGCAAAGTCCTGACTTCAAACTCCAGTACAGAAAAAAAAAATTGCAGTGAGAAGAAATTTGCTCTATCAGCTATTAAAGCATAGAGTCTGTGCTACTTGTAGTCAAACCTCAGCCTCATGCCCTTGCTAGGGAAACTGACACAACAGTACAAATGCTATATGCCTAAACTTCCTCTTAGATCAAATGGGGACAAGAATAGGACCTATGTGAGGTGGTTCTGTTGATTAAATGGGATGCAGAATAGGTCCTCACTCAGAGTAAGCTCTACCTGTATGCCATCCTTACAAATAAGCTATGAAATTAAAATGATGCAATATTGGCATATTAATAGACAGATAAATTAATAAAAGCATAGAAAAAGGAAAATGCAAGCTGAATGTACTCAAATATATGCAGCAATTTAGTGGGTTTAAAAGTGGCATTCCTGATTAGAGAGAAGGATTCAAAATGGTGGTAGAAAAAATGAGTAGTTGTCTAACAAAAATAACATTACCTCTTTCCTCCTAATTTTCACCAAAATGAACTCTACAGAAATCAAACATTTCAATGAGGAAAAATAATCCTAGCACTAGAAGAAACATGTGAGACTATTTTATAACACGGAGTAGAAATAACCTCCCTAAGCAGGACAAAAATCAAACAGTCATGAATATAGAGATTGGGGCATGACTCTAGTGGTAGAGCACCTGCCTAGCAAGTCCAGGCCCTGACTTAAACCCCAGAACCATCAAATACAAGTGAGCAAACAAAAAACATCATGGGAGCCAGGCACTGGTGGCTCACGCCTGTGATCCTAACTACGGGGGAGGCTGAGTTCACCAGGATTGAGATTCCGGGCCAGTCCAGGAAAATAGTTCTTAAGACCCTATCTTCAAAATACCCAACACAAAAAAGGGCTGGCAGAGTGGCTCAAGTGGTAGAGCACCTGCTTAGCAAGTGTGAAGCCCTGAGTTCAAACTCCACTACCACAGAAAAAAAAGTATAGTACTGGCACAAAGATAGACAAATAGACTAATGAAACAGAAAGAATAGGAAACTCTGAGATAAACCCTCAAATATACAGTCAAATGGTCTTCAAGAAAGGTGACAAGACCACTCACTATGGGAAAAGGAAGCAACCAGCTGAGTGGGAGAGCATTGCGTCCAGGATGGCAGCAGAAGTCTGAACAGGATTCCAATCATGAGGCTGAATCTGTGAAAGTAGAAACAGCCAACACTCAGAGGGAAACTGTAAGAAGCTCTGAGAGGGAAAGGAAAGAGGAGGAGGGGAAGAAGGAAAGTATGGGGTAAGCCAGCAGTGAGCAGTTCAAGGTGGGGAGAAGGAAGCAAAATCAGAGGTACTGGAAGGAATGGGTAATGGACCCAGATGAGCTTGTTTTAGGACAACAGATCAGGTATGGGCCTGCTCATACCCAGGCCCTTCCCTGACTGTCTGGGGCAGAGTTTCTCTGCTGTCCCTCACCCCTAAGAATTGTCTGAATAAAGAACACAGCTAAAAATGCAGGAAGGAGGATCACAGTGCATGTCATACTAACATAACATTTCTTCTTCTACAGGCCAGTCAACTAAAGCCCAAAACCCAGCTAGGTAAGTGCTTGTTCTCCCCCAGGTGCATGATGAGGTAGAGGCCCTGGTTTGGGAAGTTCCCTCAAAGTTTCTCTATAAGACCAAGTATGAAAATATAACGAAACCTGTTAGTTTGTACAACTGATGTATGCTAATTTAAAAAAGGAGAAATATTCCACAGGCGGATATTTTAGCTAAAAGCCCTCATATACCTAAAAATATTTAAGTATATTTTCTTCCTCCAATTTTTTTAAATACAGGAACATATTAGCAATACTTTTTCTAGATGAAGCCTTTAAAATTAACAAAATCATGTTACAAAGGATTTTTGTTTATTTTGTTTTGTTTACAGCACACAGATCTTTGATTTGTCTTATATGGGGAAATATTTTTTTCAATGCTGGAGGTTGAGCTCAGGGCCTCATGCTTGCTACGCAGGTGCTCTTTTTGCTTTATTTTTGAGATACGGTCTCACTTTAGGCCTGGTCTGGCCTGGACCTCGATCCTCCTATTTATACTTCCTGTGTAGCTGGGATGACAGGCACTTGCCACCATGCCCAGCTTTTATTGGTTGAGGTGGGGGTTTCAAGAACTTTTGCCCAGACTGGCCTTGAACTGTGATTCTCAATTCCCACATCCCAATTAGCTGACTGCAGTGCAAATTATTACACCCAGCTACAGGAAAATTTTTGCCAAATATTCAATGATGTTATATAAGGAAAGTAAAAAATAACATTAACAGTTGTGGATTATTAAAAAGTATTTTACATTTACTTTTGACATTTTATGTATAATTTTTCTTTTTGATGCTTAAAGTTACTGAGTAAAATGAATATGAGTCTGTGTATTTCATAGGAAATAATAACTTAATGAAATTACATTTATTATTAAAGTATTCACAAAACATACTAGTGGGAGAGAGATGCTTTGTGGGCCTCATCAGCTGGGACTCTCCCCAGAACAGAGTTCTTCTCTCTGTGTAACTGGACAAGCTACCTGACCCCTGTACCTGCATCCTGAGAATTGGAGTGGGTGGGCCCATGAGTCCATCCCAGGCAGCTGCCCAGAGCTTCACTTCACTTCATCCTTCATGCTGTCCATGCAGACACTGCGTTAGGTGCATTTTAAGATCTATAGCTGAGGCTGTACCTATCTGCTCAACTGCCCAAGGTCTCATAGACAGAGATTGCCTTGAGTCCCACCAGTGGAACAGTGGCATTCTGAACATCCAAAGCTCCCTGTCATTTTTCAAAGGGAGGGTAATCTAGGTATTCAATAAACATCAGTTGAATCTAGAAAAAAAATCAGTTAACTAGGTTGGGTGTGGTGGTTTGCACCTGTAGTCCCTGGAAAGCAGAAATGGGGAAGACCAGCAGTGTCAAAAAAGTTAGCAAGAACCCCATCTCAGTAATAAGCCAGGTACCATGGTATATATCTGGAGTCCCAGATAATAAGACCAGCAGAAGGAGTTTAAGAAATTCTCTTTTGGGGGAGAAATGAACCAAGTCTTGTATGCACATATGAATAATAAAAGAAAAAAAACCATAAAAAAAAAAAAGAAATTCTCTTTTCCAGAAAAAAAGATCTTTCTCCTGGATCCTTTTTCCTTCTCTCCTCCCAGTTTCTAAGCTTCTCCTATTTATTTGGTATCTTCTCACCCTTGAACATCCTTCTGGGTGCCTCCATAGCTCTCCTGTATCTTTTCTTCTTTTTTCTTTCCATCCAGTTCATCCTTTTCTCTGGTGAATGTGCCACAGCCAGGCATCCTCTACTCCAGTTCTCCCACCTCTCTTTCCTTTTCACTTTCTCAACTCTCCTTCCTTTCTCTTGTCCTTTTTAAAAAATATATCATTTACTTTTTTTGTGTATGGTACTGAGGTTTGATCTCAGGACCTACATGCTTACAAGGCAGGCACTCTACCACTTTGGTCATTCTGCCAGCTCTCTTGTCCTTTTTGTCATTCCCATTTTTCTGCTCAAAGCTTCCCTTCCCTCCTTTCTCTCCCTGTCCCTTCTTTGGCCAGCAGCCCCTCCTCCAACTCCCTAGTCTCTCAGGCACCAACCAGCCTGAGCACCTGCTCAGAAAAGCTAAAACTAAGATTTTTTTTCCCAACCCAGTTTTAGCCAAAGGAGTGCTAGCAGACACAGAACAGGGCTGCCCCCTGCTATTTCTCCTATCTATGTCACCACTACCACTTCCTAGAATAATCCACCTTAAGTTAGTGTTGAGGGACACCTCCTAGGCTGCCCCATCAAGGACCTCTCATTTGTCTTCTAGGCAGCCTCCTCCTGAAGACCTCAGAATGACCATCAAGTCATCTTGAGGGTGCATCAGGGCAGGGTGCAGAGCCCCCTCAAAGAGAACCTTCCCCTGACATGTCTTAACTCTTTCATGCTTAGCCTCTACTGTAAACACCCTCTTGTCCCCATGCAGGGAACTCTTCCAAAACACTGAGGAGAAACACGAGAATACTGGGCACAAAGGTAAGTCCTACCACCATCTTTCCCACTTCCACCTTTGGCCTTTCCTCCTTACACAAACACCCACCCACTCAGTATTTTCCCCCTTCTCATTCTTCACCTCATCCCTCCCATGTGACCCTAGTTCCAACCTGGCAGATAACCTCCCTGCTAAAGCCCATTCTGCCCACCATCCCTATCATACTACCTGACTGCAACACTTCTTGATTTCCCCCCATAGGACAACATACAGACCCCAAAGCAAATACCAAGGTAAGTAGCTGTCTAGGGCCTGAAAGAAGTAAGAGATTAGGAGGTGGGATGGAAGGATGGAGGGCCTAGGGTGTGGGGAGGGCACTCAAGTTTTAGGCAGCTGCTTTAAGATAGGGGCAGTTCCACCTCAACTGTCTAACCACTTTTTCTTTTGGTTCTTATCCAGGATGATGGCATCATCTACGCCTCTCTCACCCTATCCGACTCCACTTCACCAGGACCACCTCCCTGCTCCACTCTCCCTAGGAACCCCCAGGAAGACACCCTATACTCTATCCTAAAGGCATAATGAGTTGAACTGAATGATGACCTTAAAAATTTACCTACACTTCCAATAGAAAGGAATACAGATTCCAGTAATAGCCAAGGCAAGAGGCACACAACCCAGAAGTCAGAAAGTTTGAAGGCCATAGAAGAATTGAGAGAAACAGCCATCTATTCCAGTTTCCTGTTTAATTTTCTAGCCCTTCCTCACAAAAATAAAAATACCCACAGAAGTTGCCTAAACGAGTAGAAAACTGATGTCACCTTCCACTTCTATCCCTCCCACCAAAAATGAACTCTAAATAGGTAACTCATATCCAAGACCCCTCCTCTACCACTCTTTCTCAACTACTGTCTCAGGTGAGGAAACACTCAGGTAGCCAAGCCAGAACCTAAGTCTGCTTCCAAATTGAACCATGATCTCCCCTCACCATAATAATTAGCATGCATTGTGACTGCTTTACATGTATCACCTCACAAAAACATCAATAATCCTAAGCAGGACAGTATACCCATGAGACATAAATACAGGGGCAGATGGATAAAGTGCTTTTCCAAGGCCATGCAGCTAGCTACAAGTAGATGAGCCAGAACTGGAACCCAGACCTGCCCTTCTGGAGGTTCTCCCAGGAATCAAGTCTCTCAATGCCCTTCCCAGGTTCTTATGCTGTGCAGGCCTCCTATCAGAGATAACATGCCACAGTGACATGAGAAGGAGGGAAAGAAGCCAAAAGGAAGCAAGTAGATAGGCACAAACCTAACCAAACACGCACATACACACATACAAAATTGCTTTATTAACACAGCAACTGCACAGCTCTGACTTGAACCTTGTAACAAATCAACAACTCCAACACTTATCAGCTGCTCAGAAATGTTCTCTGGAGTACAGCAGGAGGGTGGGGCACAACACTACTCCTCAAGGAAGGCCATGGAGAACTCATCTGCATCATCTCTTTGCTGTAGCTCCCCTTTCTCCTCTGACTCTCCTCCAATATCTTCCATGAGTTGAGCAAGGTCCAGGTCACTGGAGGTTTCATCCTCAGAGAGGACACTAACAGCTCCCTCAGTTGGTAGCTCCTGGGGTCTAGGCGCTACTTTCCTCACTGAGGGACGAGCTGGTGGGGTTGGGCACTTTGGAACCATTCTACCTTCTTTTTCCTCAGACAAGCTGCTTGCTGAGGTCTTGTTTGGGGGAGCTTTAAATTTTTTCTTAGGGTCTAAATGAAAAAGGGGACAAAGTTAACAGTCTATCCTGACTTTTTACAAAATCCCTATGTCAAAAAAAAAACTGTGAAAAAGATGACCTTTCTTAATATAAAGAAAGACTTTTGCATCAGAAAGACTTGGATCCTAGCTATGGTTCAGCCATATGCTCACCATGGGTCTTGAACAAATTTTAAAACTTTCGGGGCCTCACTTACTTATACTTAAAATGTCAAATATCCAATTATAGAGCTATTAAAAAGAGTCAGAAGGAACAAGTGGAAACATGTATGTAGCCAGCCCCCAGCAATATTCATTTTCTTCTCCCTGGATCCAATCAAATCAATAACCATTATGTTTCTAAAGTATGCTGGATATAATATGAGACATCTCTTTCATTCTGAATTTCATTCCTTTTTAAAGTACTGAAATGCTGTAGAATTGTCCAGAAATATCCAGGGAAGGGACAGGGACCTCATTTTCCCACAAATCTCTCAACCCTAAGCCTTACCTGGCTGGTCCAGATCTGAATTCCTTTGCCCTTCTTCTCTCTTCATTAAGGGTGCAGGAGCAGCAGCTGTGGACTCAGTGCCCAGACATCTCTTCTTTATCTTCTTTTTCAGGGCCCTGTCTTGTCCATTTGCCATTCCTGTACCACCTCCACCACCCAAAGATGAAGGAAATTTGTTTCTCTCTAAGTGATGGCTTGCCGAGAGCAGATGGTCTCCCCACGCTTAGTCCCTGCCCTGCTCCACATCTTCTGTTAATTCTCAATCTAATGAGTTCTCTCAGTAGCTTCCAGGTCTCAACCATCTTGGCTTTTTTACCCACTGAATCTTCTCTTTCTCTTTATGGATCTTGTTATAGTCTACCTTCTCCAGGAAGTCATCCTTCTTGGCTAAGAGTTTAAAAATCCCAATGTTTAACCTAAGATTTTATAAAACACACAAGTTATGTTCCTCCTTGGAGGAAGTTAATGTTGTCTGTTTTCACAGGTCCTAGAACTGCCAATCAGGTCCCCTTACCCTATTTGCCTCTGCCCTGCCTTAACTCTGGAACAGGTTCCATTTTCAGCTGGCTTGCTTACCTGTTAGCTTGGGTTTTTTGGTATGTATTTTGGCTGACTTGGGACAGGGCAAAGTTGGGTCCTACAGATGGGAGAAAAAAATGAAAGATAAAATGAAATTTGGGTATGGCGATGCATCCCTGTAATCCCAGGTAATCAGGAGATGTAGGTAGGAGGATCTGAGTTCTAGGCCAGCCCACAAAAGCATGAAACTCTCTCTGAGCCCTGAGTTCAATCCACAGTACAACCAAAATAAATAAATAGTTGAGTCACATAACTTTTTAAAGAATAATGGGTAGGATCCAGGGAGTCAAATTGGGTTCCGGGAGGCTGATACTATTTAAATCCATGACAATACAGGGAAAATATATGGTCACCTTCCCACTCTATTTGGTATCAGTCAATGCAATGTTTTCATGCATAAAGAAGGACATAAAGCTAGGCCATTGGTATGATTTGAAAATTTGTAATTTAAAAATTAAAAGACGAAACCAGACACCGGTGACTAACATCTGTAATCCTAGCTACTCAGGAGGCAGAGATCAGGAGGATCTCGGTTCAAAGCCTGCCTGGGCAAATAGTTCATGGGACCCTATCTCGAAAAAACCCTTTTTTAAAAAAAAGGGCTGGTGGAGTGGCTCAAGGTGTAGGCCCTAAGTTCAAACCCCAGTACTGCAAAAAAAAAAGAAAATTAAAACAAGTAAAAAACCCATGTTTCACACTCCTAGAAAAAAGATGCTAAAAAAAGGTGTGAATGAATATGCCAAGTATCCACATAGGGGAGAAGGGAGTGAAAAGAAACAACCTGCTAATCTCTGAAAGTACTTCAGGAAGAAACAAAGAAATATAAGAGATTATAATCAAGAAAGAATTTCCTAGAGATAAAAGAAATTCAGAGAATAAGAAGGAAAGAGGAGAGCCTCCTTCCCTGAAGACCCCTAAGAGAGAAATATCAGCCAGTGGGGACTACCCTGGCTGGGTATGAGGTGGTTGAGATGAGTATGGGGTAGGTGAGATGGTTTGCAGTAAATGTAAAACAATGCTAACCAGACCTTTAAAGGAATGTCCTATAAAGAAACCCCAATATACTCATTTAAAACAATATTTCAAACTAATCAACTGGATTGTAGGTGGTACACACCTATAATCCCAGCACTAAGGAGGCTGAGGCCAGAGGATTGTGAATTCAAAGCCAGCCTAGACTACATAGAAAGACCCTGTCTCAAAAAATCTAAATAAGTAAATAAGACTCTTTAAAAAATTAATCTTACTTTTTTCTTTTCCTTTGCCTCTTCCTCCATCGCTGAATCTTCCTCCTCCTCCTTCTCTGAGCAGTACTCTGGACTGTTATCCCCTATTCCCAGAACAGGAGAAGGAAAGAAAAACTAAGTAATTGACCCAAAATATAGTTGATTAGCTAATGGAGCTGATCCCAGAGAATTCATCTTTTAACTTTGCCTTCTACATCCCTGTGACATTTTCTCTATTAAAAACACGTTCCCGGATTATGATGGTTCCACCCTGTTCAAAGCTCATCAGTATTTTCACACACCTTCTCTTCTTACCCTTTTTCTTCCATTCCTCTCTCCACCCATCTATCCATCCATCCTGAATACTGGATCACATTCACAAGAGCCTACTATTATAGAATCCAGAATGAGGCTGATGGCATGGAACATAAAATAAAGTGTGGGTGTTGCCTTCATGGACACATCCCTCCCCCCCTTTCCAGTCTTCACCCTTCACTTCTCCTACCTTTTTCTTTCTCATCTGATATACTGTATCGGCTCCAGAAACCAAACAAGTTAACCCGCTCCTGAAGGAACCAAGGAAAAAAAGCATCATCCTACCCTTCCAGGGATGGCTTTTGCTATCTTCTAGATTTTAGTTACGGCAAAATTTGTATTCATTCTCCATGCTATTTTCATTTGAATTCTCACATTAGCTTTGTCTGGACTTTTATGGAGATTCATTATAATCTTTTTTTCCCATTTATTCATACTGAACAAACAACTAGGAAAGGGAAATTCATGGTTTGTCATTCTCTACCTCACCCACTACTACAGGAATTTGAGAGTAAAAGCTGGCTTCACATAGCTGGGCATGGCAGTGCACACCTGTGGGCCAGCTAGTTGGGAGGCAGAGATGGGAAGATGGCAGCTCAAGGCCAGCCTAGGTAGAAAGTGAGACCCCCTCATCTCAACCAAAAAGTCAAGTATGGTTGTATGCCACCTGTAATCCCAGGTATGCGGGAGGGTAGAAGGATTGAAGACCAAGCTTAGCCTTAGGCAAAAAATGCAAGACCCTATCTGAAAAATAACTAAAGCACTAAAAAGGTCTGGGGATACACAATGATTGCTTAGCAATTGTGAGGACCTGAGTTCAAACTTCAATATCACAAAAAAAAACTGACTCCACATTTATGAGAGGTTAGGGTACATATATCTGAAAGTTGACTTTTAACTAGGAAGGCAGGATAACCCCTGTCTCTGTCTGGGCAGCGAGAAGATTCCACTTGTCCAGTGACAGGAAAAGGAGTGGATGATTTAAGGAGTCAAGAGAGTCTGGCCTTGCTGGGTGCTGATGGCTCCCAGCTTTGTGTCCACATCCTGAATAGGAACAAGTATGTGGTCTGAACACTCTCCTACCTGAATGTTGACCTTTTCTGCCTCCTGAGCCATCACTATGGCTGCCCCCAGTTTCTGGCTGTAATCCTTGTTCCTGCACTTTTTCTGAAATGGAGGAAGATTAGAGTCAATGATAAATATTGTCTTAAAGCCAGGCACTGGCAGCTCACACTTGTAATCCCAGGTACTTGAGAGGCTGACACGGGGAGATCAGTTTGAGGCCAACCTGGACAAATAGTTCTCGAGATTCCCATCTCCAAAATAAACAGAGTAAAATGTACTGGTGGCGTGGTTCAAGTGGCAGAGTGCCTGCTTTTCACTTTTTTTTTTTTGAACAATTTTTAAATTTTTTATTTTATGTACAAATATGGTCTTTCATTGAGTGGTATGGTCTTGGATAATCCATTCAAGGAAGATCACTTAGTCCAACTTAATGGAGCCGATGTCCTTTGCATACTGATGGAAACACTGCCTGCACATGTTGAGCCCATACTTCTGGATCAGACCATGACAGTTTGAGCAGAGGCGGCAAGAGCAAGATCCGGCCAAATTTTCAAGGGTGACTCCAATAGAGCTGCTGTGACCCATCTTGCCTTCAGACATCCACTTGCCATGAGTTCAAACCCCAATCCCACCAAAGGAAAAAAAAAACTGCCTTCAAGACTGATCAATAATAAATATTAAAGAAAGTGACCCCAACATACTGCCATCCACCAGACATTATCTTCACTACATTTGTCTCCAGGTCCTACTATTCACATACTTCTAAATCTTTTGGGCTCAGACACAGCACCTTCTTCCCCCAATAAACCATCAATTCCTAGCAATTTTTTCAACCAACATTTTTGGTACACTCTCCAAAGTGAATCCAGTGAGAATTTGTTAAGAAAAAAAAGTCAACGTTCAGGTGACTCCACTTTTAAGCTCCTCACAGACTTCTTTATATCCAGCTACTTGATTTTCTAAGGTCCCTAAACCGCTGGGCTTTTGCTCATTTTAAGGCAAGTCACACCCCAGAGACTATAAGGAGAAAAAATGATTTAGCTAATCCAATGCTTCTCAATTGAGGGAGATTTTTTCTTTGAGAAGACATTTGGAAATACCTGAAGACAATTTTTTTGTTGGTATTGGGGTTTCAACTCAGTCACTCTGCCAGCTCCTGGAGACAGTGTTTTGACTGTCACAACTAGGAGTACAGGGCAAGGAGTAGGGTAAGGGATGCTACTGGCCAGATGCCAAAGAGCCCAGGGATGCTGATAAACACCCTGCAATGTACAGGACAGTTCTCCACAACAAAGGATTATCTGGACAAAAATGTCCATTGTGCTGAGACAGAAACCTTGAATTAATCTGGGTCCTGTGGTCTGCTCACTATAGAAATCTTCATCTTCAAGAAGGCTTCCTACCTGCAGGCATGGAGGGAAACTGAAAAACAATCACTATTCCATTACAACACTGGTAGAAACAAGAGTCCCTCATGAATAAAACTCACCCTTGGCACACAACATCATTTCCCTTGGGAGTAGATCAGGTTTAATAAAGGAGATTTCATTTTCCAATTCCCTTTAACACAAAAGACACCCAAAGTTTTCTTACCACTCCTGCTAGCTCCTGGGACAGCTCCTGGAAGTTTTTTAGCATGTTGACTGGAATCCAAGCACGAGAAACTGTTTCTCCAAAAAATGTCACGTGGTACTTAGACTGCAATTAAAGATGACCCTTTTTTTGGTTCCTGTTCTTTCCCCTACTCTTCTCCTCTAACCAGAAAAGGTGAAGAAAATAGGGGGACTCACAAGAAGGTGCTGGGCCTCCCATGCTTCCTAAAGCCTGACTCACCTACCCTACTGCATGTCACTGTTCTTCTGTTCTAACCTCAGGAATTCTAGCCAAACCGTATCAATCAAGACCTTAAATACCTATCTAGTGGACAAATATTTAATTAATACAAGTTGAAGTGTGAGTACTTACCGCCATATTTGTCACTCCACTTAAATATCTGTTTCCACATGTGTCTGCTAGTTACATCTATGTTTCTAACTCTAAATATCTGTTAGGATGGATATGTTCATTGCTTTGGCCGAACCAACTTCCATTAATGTCCAAAGAAGCTCAGTCTTCCTACTATCCTTGTGGGCCTTCCTACAACCCTAAGGACAAAATCTTCTGACTAGGGACATGTCTAAAGAAGAAACTATCCTACTCTTTCTTGTCCTCTTTGCATGCTTCTTGCATTTTAATATGTAAAATGTTTTGAATGAGGCATGGTAGTACATGTCTATAATCCCAGCACTCAGGAGGCTGAGGCAGCAGGATCATAAATTTGAGGCCAGCCTGAGCTATACAATGAGACTAATACAAAAAGAAACAAAAATGCTTTAGATCTTCCCTCCTTTTTTCTATCCACTCATGGTAGCATTGTTTTTTTTTTTCTAGAGGGATACCAACCTAAAACTGCCAAAAAACACTTTTTTCAAGTGATACTTTATTTTCTCCCTCACCCCATGTTCTTTCTAAGGCAAGTACCATTCCTATTACAAATGCTTTCCATCTCCTTCCCTCCCTGCTTGAATCTACCACTGCCAAGTTCAGAAAGGATGCTCTATCTGTGGCGCCCTACCAGGGGTAACCATATTGCTTGGCCCAGATGATGGATCCTGGGATATAGGAAGCATAAATCACATCACTTTCACGCCCTGTCCAGGCCTCCTCAGGTATATCACAGCGATTATAATTCAAGTCTGCCAAAAGAGAGAAGAAATGAAGGGACAGGAAGAAACTCATAAGGTAAAAATCTGGACACAGGTCAGGGAGAGGTCAAGAAGTGATACAGGCAGCAGAAGGGACCAAAAGGGCACCTGGGAGAGAAGAACAGAGACCCATAGAGGAAATGCAGCTAAAGCCAGGAGGAGTAGGAGTCCTGCCTCCAAATCCTCTACAGAGATTCCAAACTCATGGAGCAACTTGATGGCAATTTCTCTGAGACTGTTTTCTCATTTGTAAAATAATTGTGCTGGACAAAAATCATAATAATCTCTTCTAAATAGTTTCAAACATTCTAGAACTCTAAGCTCACTAGGTCTTTCTCACCTGCTTTCCCCCCACATATCCCATATCCCTCCTTATTCATCAACCCAATACCAATATTCTCATCAGAACTGATAGGATCACACCAATGTTGAGGAAAATGGAATTTACTCAATATATACATTCACATTTCAGGCCCTCCTTGTAACATAACTCTGCAAGGCATCTCCCTCTCCATCTTTGTGCTCTGCTTCATCTCCATAGGACAGGGAGATCACTCCCCTTTCCCAGTCATACGAGGACCTTTTGAGTGCTAATTACACTTGTGCCATCTTTAATCTAATGGATACATACCAGGAAAGAATGGGAGAGGCAAAAAAACTGGAAAAAATTTCTACTCCTTTCTACCTGGGTTCTGGTCACAAGACCAATTGTCAGGGAGAACTGAGGGGTCAATGTTTCCAGGCAGCCGCCTCCACTTTTCACAGTTTGAAAAGGAACACTGGACCCAAACTAGAAACTGACCTGTAATGGGAAAAAAAAACTGAATTGAGTCAAAAGTATCCCCTTCCTTCTTCAATCCAACTAAGATCAATGTAACTTTACCACCTACCCCGAGAATTACATCTCCATATGGACCTTACAGATCAACTAGTCCAATCCCTGAATGGCAAAATCAAGTCTCAGAGAAGACAATGACTTGATAAAGACCTAATGTGGTGACAGAGCTGACTTCAGGACTCAAGTCTTACATCTTGATCTTTCCTCTATACCAGGCAGAAGGGAGTGGTTCCTGTATTGACAGGATTTGGTAATGGGTAAGTCAGTTGAGATTTGGATAAAACTGTGGATATTTTATATTGCAACTCTCATGCAATGCAGAGTTGCCAGGGGTATCACTATATACTCATGATTTAACATCATCAATCAGTATGTTCCTCTAGTAAGTTTGCTCTGTCAAAATTTTTAAATTATCAGATTTTACCCTAAAATTTTCAAATACAAGGGATGCACCATGCAATCCCATCCCACTGGAATCATCCCACAGAAAAAAAGGTAACATACATTTAGGTCCTTTCAAAACATCATATACTATGTGTCATTTCTCAATTATTTTATCTTAAGAACAAAGTACTGGTTGGGATGATACATTAGTCAGAAAAACAGATACCAATAATAGTTTGGGATGTTTTCAGAAGTGACCTAGCAAGGCTAGAAAAAAAAGTGATGGGAAGTTAAATATAGATCAATAAAATAAATGGTGGATTGTGAAAGTAATGACTATTCATAAGAAAATAAGTGGAAAGAAACTCCCCTAAAGATATGGAACTGGATATTTAGAGCTTGAAATGAGATTTCTAATACAGGATTACATAGGTTTTTCAAGTTTCATTTCAAACCATTTAGAGAAAAAGATAATGTGCTCTGGAAAACTGTTTGATGCTTACCATGAGTGTGGCTATAAGATAATGAAAACTGATGTCACAGATCCACATTAAGAGCATTTCAGTTGACTGCTCACTCTTGAAACACAGTAATATCCTGGCTTCTGTGATACCTCATTCTCCTATCCCCCTCATTTTCCTGGCACCTTCTTCCTCAGTTTCCTTTGCTGGACTCTCCTTGTTCTCCATGCAATCTCTATAATGTCAGGATTCCACAATCTAATCAGAGGCCTTCTCTCCCCACATTCCACTTTCCCCTAAGGCAAACTCACCCATTCCCATAATTTTGAAAATCGCTTTTCATATCTGACAGCACACAACTGCAGTCTCTGTACTGAGTTCCAGATGCCACATTACTTTTTTTTTTTTTTTGCATTACTAGGGATCAACCCCAGGGCCTTACACATGCTAAGTACAGGCTTTATACCACTGAGTTACATCCCCCCTACCCTGACATCTCTATTTGGATGTCTCACAAGGATCTCAAAGTCAACACACATAAACCTGAATGCTTACTCTTATCCCATATGTTCTTCCTCCCTCTTTTCCACTTCCTTTCAGATAACTGCTTAAGCCAGAAACCTATCATCTTTGACAGGTGCTATCCTCTTTCCTACTTCCCCATATCCAATTCCTAATCAAGTTCTAACAATTTTATCTCTAAAACACATCATAGAATCATTCACTTGTATCTCTACTTTGATCATCCTAATCCAAGCTACCAAAATATATTCTAATTCTAGCACTGATTTATTAACAGGTTGGTTTTCTCCCCATAAACTATTCTTTAATTAATCACTGAAGGATCATTTAAGACCACTAATTTGAGGATATCACTTCCCTGATTAAAACTCAGCAATGGCTTCCACTACTCTTAGGGTAAAATTCTCACTGTGTAGCAGTTTCTTTGAGCCATTAGCCTGCCATTTTTTCCAAAGCCACTCTCCCTTTCCTCATCCTGCTCTCTGAACTCTAATACTGGGCTTTTTTTAGTAATAGGAATATGCCAAACTTTACCTAAAACTCTCTCCTATTCTTCACTTGGATAACTTCTTGCAGATTTCAGTTTAAATGCATTCCCTGACTCACCCAATGTTACTTAGGTCTCTAGTATTTCCTCTCACTACCTAATATAAATTGTATTTATTGGGTATATCCCTTCCCACTTCCTACTTCAGTAGGACTCTCTTCTTCTTAACAACTGTAAGAAACAGGAAGAATGATCCATTTATAGCAAAGAGCTGACAAATATAATTCAACTCATAAGCGCCATCTAGGGAATGTACTTGTCTGACAATCTAAAATCCAGCCCTTGGGTTAATACTAAAAGTTACAAAAAATAAAGCAACATAAACCTAAAGACACCAGCTTGTATGAGCTAACTAGAGATCAGGTCAGGGGAATCTGCAGTATCCCAAAAATTCTCAACAGAAACATCTGAGTTTACATACTCACATAAAACCAAAAGAAAAAAGTTTTCAGCTCTCTTTGAAAAAAGAACCTATCTGCTTCACAGATTTATTACACATGGTTTTGGCTAAGCACAGTAAAAAATAAATAAATAAATAAATAATCAAAAGAAATTTCAAAAACAAAAATTTAAATTTTTAAACATGCACTACATAGCTAAGCTGATACAGAGAAGCTCTCAGTCAGTCCTGTGTTATCATCAGTTGTATTTAAATCACTGTGTGATCTGCTGTTTCCTTGCTCTTTAATTTTGTGAAATATGCCTCCCAAAAAGGAAATGGCACCAAAAAGCAAGGGAAAATTAATGTGCTTAACTAAAGTGATAAAGTGAAAAATTTTAAATTTGTAGGTAACATGTCTTTATTGGAAGTTGGGTGGTGTTAGGGGAAGAATGAATCAAGCATCTGCAATACAGTACTGTCTATGCAGTCACAGTTTTTCCTCAACAGCCGTCTCCTTAGAACCATAAACCTACAGATACCAAAGGTCTGTTGTACTTTATTTTTCTATACCCCTTATGCTTGTTAGGTGGGTGCTCCTACTGCTTGAGCTACTCCACCAGCCCTTTATTAATTCCTTTTTTTTTTTCAGATAGGGTCTTGAGAACTATTTGTTCAGACTGGTTTCAAACTGTGATCCTCCTGATCTCTGCCTCCTGAGTAGCTAGGATTACAGGTGTGAGTCATTGGCATCCAGCTCCAGCCCTCTCTTTTAAAAGAAAATTATAAAAGAAGAAACCATCCTGCAACTCTCCACTCAGTACCTTTTAGATACCATTTTCTACCTCTTACTTTTCACACAAAGACTAACTATAAAAGTGTTTGCTCTTCAAATAACTATAACTGTCCATTCATCCTATAACCAAGAGTCTAATGGTACCCTAATTGTGATGTCCTTGAGCATTTTCAAATCTTTACACTCTGTCTTCCCTTTGGCAGCATTTGACATGGCTGAGCATGTCCTATTTCTTGAAATTCTCTTCTTCCCAGGCATACCACTCTCCAGATTTTAATTCCGCTTTAAACATAACATAGTTTTCCTCCTGGACACCACCTAAAATGTCTGGTACACAGTAGACACCTAACAACTATGGATTATGTGAATAAATAACTGAATGGATGAATATTTCTCTTTCTTCCTCAGCAGCATATATGCTAACAAGCAGCTCTGAAAGCGAATTATAGTGTTACGCAGATTTTTGTCTATTATCCTAACCCTTGTCTCTCTCTTCATTTTGAATTTTCAGCCCGAAGTAGGTTTTCCAAACTCTGGTTGAATTCACCAAAACCACTTTCTTCTCCTTTTTTCTGGTCCCTGATGTAAAAATGATTCTGAATCATTTGCTTCAATTGGTCTTTCTGTCTGTGCTCATGTCCACCTTGAATTTTCCCTATCTTTTCATCTTCTGGGAAGATAAAAACAAACATTATGAGGTGGAGAGAATTTACTTTGTAGATAGTCAAGGCCAGGGAAAAAGACGACTTTTGAGCCTTGGGCTGAAAATTTTCAACCTGACACTGTCCCATTCTCTAATATCATAAAGTAAATACTTGAGCCAAGCATCAAAGTAATCTGATACTTACGAGCTCTCTTCTTTCTTTTGCTTAAGGGCAGTTTTGTAAGTTTCTTCTCAGAGGGTGCAGGAATTGGTTGGCTTGGCTTAGATGTCCTTATCTCAGGGACAACTTCATCTTCCACAGCAGCTGAAGTCTCTGGAGCATGAGATACCATTACCCTCTCCCTGAAAATAATATTGTTGAAATAAAAAGTTGAAAAGGAGACACTTATAATATCAATATTTTGAAATAAACCAAGGGTAAATTCTAGAGTGGGGGCTCAGTGGTATAGTGCATATTTAGCATGCACAAAGCACTAAAGTTTAATCCCCAGCAACAAAAAATAAACAAAACTTCTAGGCCTCCTAAGGCATCCTGAGGTCATTTTACCCAAGTACTTGCCTATTATTTTTCCTAATTCAAACAAGTATCTTTCTTGAGCTGAGAGAAATCAATAGAAATACAGTAAATGACTAGATAGACAAAAGAAAGATCACCATTTACCAATGTTAAGTCTACCCTGTGTTTAATTTGCCTCCCTGGGATAAACTTACCCATCCATATTTTTAGTAGCAGAAGAAGCAATTCCTCGTTGTTTGTTTAACTGGGTACATACTATGCACTGGGCACAGGAAACCTCTGCAAAATTTAGGCCAGATCCTATCCCTCCCAAAACAAAATATTATAAGCAGAGAAGCAAAAAAAGAAAACAACCACGCCAATATTTCTAATTATAACATTACATTAAAATACCCTCTTACCTGGAAGAGCCTATCTTTAGCTTCTTTTCATATGAGACAACTTAAAAATCTTTAAATTTTCAGGAAAAACTACAAATCTCTGTCTACAAGCCTTTCCAGATTAATTGGTCTCATTCTAGGACAACCAGATAATGATAATTTTATTTTGTAAGTTATACATACTGGATTTTATATCATTTTTCTTCAGACTTCTTCTAGTAACCAAAGTGTATCTATGAATGGCTGATATGTCAGATCATTCTCTTTAGCCTCATGACCTATGGAAAAGGTCTCAGAGACTGTAAAATAGAGTTCTTTATTCTAAAAATCAACTCCCTGAGAAGATGCTACAAAGTATTAAAAACAGAAATGAACAAGTATAGATGGAGACTAAGTTCTTCAAATCTAAGAAAACCATTTACCTTCTAATAGATTATAAACATACAAAAATGAATTAAAATTGCATTTTTAAAATGTAAATTAGATTATATTCATTCTGAAGTCAATATAATCTACTTTTCTGAACCTCTTCTCTAAGATGGCTTAGCTATAGCTCTACTGATACATTGACATATTCCAGTGTCTTGTCTAGGATTTTCTTACTTAGGAAGATGGAAGGGGAGAGAAGCTGTCAAACTTACTCTTCCCTTCAGATAACAGTCATTTTACCTAACTGAAACCATTTTCCTCTTACTACAAATCATACCCAAGCACTCCTGGAGGGACTTCTGTAGCACAATCTGGACAATCTCCTCAAATTCTGCATTGGTAAGACTTGATTTTTCCTGTAGAAACAAGGGAAAGGAAGGAAAACTGCTTTTCATAGTGTTCTCCCCTAACCAATGAGAGAAGCCTCCTTTAGATGAGCCAGTTAAGTTCATAAGACATGTGAACATGAAGTCAGTAAGCCTAAGAAGTTCATAAACTTTACCCCAATCTCCTGAGGAAAAAGGAGTCAAAGAAATCATTTATAAAGTCACTGTCTACTTCTACTCCTGCCTTAATCCCACTTTATCCCATTATTTCCGTTTGGTGTTTTTGGTGATACTGGGGTCTGACCTCTAGGTCTCATGCTTGCTAGGCAGGCACTCTACCACTTGAGCCACTCTGCCAACCCTGTTTTGCATTGGGTATTTTTGAGACAGGGTCTCTCAGACTATTTGCCTCCTATCCTCCTGATCTCTGCCTCCTGAGTATCTAGGATTATAGGTATGAGTCACCAGAACCCAGCTTCATCTCATTATTTCTTGATAAATGCTTTAATCAAACACTTTTGTCTCTGAGGAGAAAATGGAAGTTCAACAGAAAATGGAAGTGCAACAAAAAGGAATAAAAATTGACACTAAGCTGGATATGGCATATGCCTATAATCCCAGCTACTCAGGAAGCTAAAGCAGGAGATTCCAAGTTCAAGGCCAGCCTGGGCAACTTAGTGAAACCTGTCTCAAAATTTTAAAAAGGGTGGAGTAGAGGTCAGTAGAACAGTGCCTGCCTAGAATGCTCAATGAGGTTCTTGGTTCAATCTTCAGTACCACAAAAAAGTTAAAACTATAATGATAAATTTCCCCAACATGAAAAATTGTTTGTGTAGCCTGGGTTCAGGGCAGGGTAGGAGGACCTGTACTACTAGAGTGCATCAATGTGATTCATACCTTTACTTTCTTCCCTGCTGGCTTGTTGTCTTGAGCTTTTCCTTTTGTCTCCTGGCCACTGCTTGGACCATTCTCCCTGGTTACCTTCTGCTCTATCCTGGCCTTTGGCAGGTTTGGCCTAGTCTCTGCCTGTGGGGAATTGACCCCTGGGGTCACCTCCTTAGGTGAGTCAGGAGCATGACGTATCATGCTATGCAATTTTTGTATAGGTGGAGCAAAGGTTTTCTTTGGTCCTTTTCCACATTCTGAAAGAAATTTGAACAAATGAAGTTTATGAAATAGTCTAACAGATTGTCAAACAGTGCTCATTGACTGGTCATATTAGAATTACAGAAAGAGCTTTTAACAATTTGGATTCCTCCCCTGAGATTATGATGAAGTAGTGTGGAGTGAGGCCTAGAAATGTGTTATTTTATAGTTGATTCTGATACATTGTCAGGTTTGGGAACCAATGAGTAATTCAAATGTAATAATTATAAGTAAACAGGAAGCTGTATTACTCAAGTGTAAATTTTTATTTGTTCATTTTAATTTTGGATAAAATTTTATGAGAAACTAGCTTTAAAATTAGTCAAATTACAAATTATTGAAGTCCTAGTTTCATACCACCTCATCCATAAACATTATACTGAACTTCCTAGGTATAAGTAACATCTCTTTCTTCTGATCTCCCAAATTACTTTGCATCTCTCTGGTGGCATTTACCACATTTAACTTTATGTTATAAATTTTAAAAATTTTTTTCTTCCTATGAGTTCATGTATCTCTTGAGTAAGATTGTTTCTATTTATTTCGTTCAAAGAATCAAGCAGAATGGCAATATGAACAAAGTGGACAGAAACAGATATGATCTGAAATGCCCTTTGGTGGGAAGGATGTTCAGAAGGGGAAAATGAGAGAAACATATCAAGTGAAGTTCCTTCATTCTTGACTCACCTTCTTTATTCTGCAATGTGGTCATCATTCAGCCCAGAAACTATACTTTCTTTGCTGCCTGTTAGAAAAAAAATAAACTGCTACAGTTCTGATTAAACATGATTGTAAACTTCCTTCTCAGTCTTCTTAGGTTCAGATTCTCTTTGCCTGGAAACCTGAAGACATTTCTGCCTTCTTGACTGTATTCCTACCCTCTCAGCAGTGCCACTAAAAAAGAAAATAACTATGGTTCATATATACTTCTCTTTAAAGGTTCTAAAGATTTGCCAAGTTTGTTTGAGGAATAGGGTTCTTCCCTCTAGGTCACAAGATGTATTCCAGTTACTGATGGCTGGGTATGGTGGTGCATTCCTGCAAACAAGGCAGACATCAGGAGGATTGGGCAAAAAGTTAGGAAAACTCCCATCTAAACAGATAAGCCAGGCATGGTAGTACATAATTATAATCCCTACTACATGGAAGGCACAGGTAGCAGGGTGCAGTCTGAGGCCATCCCTGGGCAAAAATTCAGGACCTATATGAAAAAAAAAAGTAAATCAAAAAGGGACTGTGTTGTAACTCAAAAAAAAAAGGTATTAGGGGTTGACTTAGTATGGCACCCCACATAGCTGAATGCAAAATATTTTTGAAGCATCCTTCAGCATTTTTAAATGTTTTAAATTTTTTTGACAGTACTGGAGATTGAACCCAGGGCTTCACTCATTTTTTGGTTGAATCAGGATCTAGCTAAGTTGCTCAGGCTAGCCTTGAACTCTCAATCCTCCTGCCTCTGTCTCCCAAGTAGCTGTCACCATACCCAGCATCCTTTGGCATTTTTCTCTTCCTTTTCTTAGTTCTGTAAACATGATGTGTTTTTGTGAAGCAACTACTCTTCCTTTATAATAAGGATCATATTTTCTCACTGGTACCATCAATGAGAAACTTACTTGCTACAGAAAAAAAAAAGGCAAGTGGGAATTTGGAGGAGAAACTCTGAAGCAAATTGTTCTCTTTCTTTAATATAATTCCAAATAGCAGCTAGAAACTAAATAAAAGTACGCAGCAAAAGGAATATTTCACCACAAACGATAAACAGTCCTCCCAGATTCCAAAATTCCAAAACAGATCATGAGAAGTCCTCATGAAGGTAATCTAAATTCTGAGAGCTATACTAAAGAGAAAAAGCAGGCCAAAAATTATTAGTATTCGAGATGCATCATTTGGCTATTTGAAATGTATGTTAAAATAATATGAGTGGGTATGCATAAATTATCTCTGGAAAAAATACAAGAAAGGGATCAAAATGCCTCTGGAGAATAGATCTGAGTGGACAGGGAGGTGAAATAAAGCCTTTCACTGTATTCTGGCATTTTATAACATAACTTACAATTCACATAACATATTACCATATATATATAACAGATTACCAATTCAAAGATGAATTATTTAAAAATGTTAAATATAATAAAAAGAATACTTTCACCAACCTAAAATTGCAAACTTACCTAATATTTATGTTCAAATCCTTATCTAAACCTGTGTAGATGGTTTTTGTTTCTGGAGCTCCAACTAACTGGACCCATAGAACTGTGGGTCATTATTAAGTCAGTAAGATAAAGCAAATTTATAAGCAGTGACATATAATAGTTCCCTTTAATCTAAGATGTGATGAAGAACACTGTTTTTTAAACAAAAGTGCTAACCTGATGAATAGAGCCAAAAGTCCAGAAGCCACTTTCTGATAACTCAGGTTGCTGCTCCCTCTGGTTTCAGATAAATTTACTTCTTCCACAATAACAAATATTAAAAGCTGCTCCAAAGAAGAAAAAAACAGTTAATATACAAAATACCACCAACTTTCTTCTGAACAGATTACACCCAGGAATAACACTTGAGACTTTAATTTCTCGTTTACCTTACACAAAAGGGAGACAGGGAGGGAAAAAGAAGTAGATATGTAGGGTTTACAGAGGGAAATAAAAAACCAGATATTTCCATAAACTGAATCCCACTCATTCAATGTAATACAAGACAATAGGGGCTGGGAGGCATAGCTCAGTGGTAGAGCACTTGCCTACCATGAGCAACGTCCTGGTTTGATCCCCAATGCTGCAAAACAAAGAGGAGGGGGGGAAGAAAGAACTTAGAACAAAATAAAGGAAATCAAAAGTAGATGAATGAGAATCTAAAAGGAAATAGAAACAGAACACTAAAAATGTAATCCATTAGTGAAACATTAATTTTAAACTGAAATTACCTAGCCCAGTTCTCAAAGTGTGGTCCAAAAGCCCCTAGGAGTTCCTTCCCTTTTCCAACTTTCTTTACCTGTGTTAAGCTCTATTTTCTCATGGAATTCTATCAAAACAAGATACCAGATTGAATGCAGGCACAGATGAGACCCCAGATGTTTTCTATTAATCCAAATATGAAAGAGATTTGTAAACATGTAAAAAATGCCTTTCTTCATGCTAATTTTTCTTTTGGAAAATTTGTTTTGGAAAATCTATTTTCATAAAAACATGACATGGACCCTCATGTTATTTCTAAATACATATTTTACATTTTTCTGTTTTATTTTTTAATTGCTAATGTAAACAGATACAAAGCACATAAAAGTTCTTCGGAGTCCTCCACAAATTTTAAGAGTATAAAAGAATTCTCAGAACAAAAAAGTTTAAAAAGACCTGCTCTAGTGAAATCACTAAATTCAATCTTGCCAAGGGTTTTCAAAAACACAGTCATTCTCCCCTTTCTGTCTACACAATTATTCTTTCTGTTGTCCTTAGTCTAAGAAAACTGAGCCCTTTAGGATTTTGTTGTATCATAGACTCCCTGACCCTCAAAAAAAAAAAAACTGTACAGACTTACATTTAATCCCAGCACTCCAGAGGCTGAGGCAGGAGGCTCTCTAGGTGGAGGCTAGCCTGTGCTACAGGGGGAGACCCATCCTGTCCCCATAAATAAGTAAGTAATGAGGGGACCTGCCTTGTCTCAAAATAAATAAATAAATAGAAGTCCCTCCCTGTCTCAAAAAGAAAAAATAATGGGGAGACGCTCCCTGCCTCAATAAATAAGTAAATCAATAAAGACCCTACCTAAATAAAGACATAATAAGGAAAGACCCTTCCTGTCTCAAAAAATAAAAAATGGGGAGACCCTCCCTGCCTCAAAAAATAAACAAAAAATAATGAGTCCTCTTGGCCTCAGAATAAATGATAAACGAATAAATATATGGAAGATGCTCCCTGTCTCAAAAAATAAATTTTAAAAAATAGATGGTAATATAGATAAATCTTCAGGACGGAGTCTCCTCTCTTTCTGGCCTTAATGTCTAATGTGAACTCTGACTTTTCATTAATTAATTTAAGTAGTGTTTTCTTTGTTTCGTGCGGGCATGTGTCCTGCTAATACGATTTAAAAAACTTAAAAAAAAAAGAATCCATTCACCCCAACTGCCCGTTAGACATCCTACTCTCAGCAGTACCGCCCCGAACGAAACTTTCCACAGAAACTTATCGATAAACTCCCAGAAACCCAAAGATCGACGCGGCCCCGTTATCAACAAAACATAGCATTTTTTGGTTTTTGGGGTTTTAGGTTTTTTTTTTTTTGCACGATGGCTGATCTCACTCGCATTCTCGCTATCAACTCCCCGAAATGCTTCCACTGCCCCATCCCAAACTTGCTTTTTGGGGTTCTTTCGCTTAAAGGAGCGCGTCGCCCCTCCCCACGAGCGCCCAGATTCTGCTCCGTTTCCCCCCAAGGGTATCGGGGTGCGGGGTTATAAAATGCCTAATTCGCCTTCCCCCCGCAAAAAAAAACCCTCAAATTTTTCCTATCTCCCCTTACCAATTGTTAGGGCTCGCAATTAAAATGGGAACTATCGCAGCCGACTCCCCCTTCGTATCCCCCCACCCCGCTCCTGCCGAGGCATCCAGAGCCTCGCCCCGCTCAACTCGTCGTTTTTCGTCAAGATTTTTGGGCTATTTTTCTTTGTTGGAGGGCGCCGTGGAGGTTAAATTCTGAGAAGAAGGGGTAAAAGTCGTTTCACTGAGGAGAAAGTTTCTCCACGGCGAACAGGTACCAGGACTGCCCACACCTAGCACCTTCATCTGCAACCGGAGAGGAGTCGGCTACCTTCTACCTGCGTCGACGACCTAAAGGCGAGGAGCAGGCGCAAGTCGCTGCAACGAGTCTGCAACCTCGACCTACTTTTTCCCGCCTCCAGGAGAAGGCGCGAGGCCGCGGACAGGCTCCGCCCCCTAGCGGCGTGCTCGCAAGACCAAAGCGCATGCGCAGAAAAGGTAGTTCCGCCATTTTCCCACGAATGCCCGGCAGAACTACAAATCCCATAATCCTCTTTGGCGTCACTTTTTACTAGGCGGCAGCAACAGCGCCTGATTGTTCCTGAAGCACATTATCTTTCTAACTCTTCTTTTACCCAAAGTGCCTTTTCCTTCCTCTTTTCATGCCATGATTCCTATTCTTTCTTCTAGTTTCCTTCTCTCCCTCAATATTTTGAGGCTATCTTAGGTCCCCTTCTAGCTTCTACCATCCTATTCTCAGCCAAATAATCGGTTGCAGGGAGACCTGGCCACTCTTCACTCTTGGGAGACGGCAACTAATCGCTGCATCCCATTGACGGAGGAAGGGGGCCCAAAGCTGGCCGATTCGCCTTCCCCGCCCACACGCGTTTTTATTAGGGGACCAGCGTGCATTCCACAGGGGCCAGCAGCTAGTCGGTGGCGGCGGTGGGCGCAGGGCGGCCCGCAGGCTAGAGAGCTGGGGTTGTTGCTCAGGAGCTGAGAGGTAGGCGCAGAGGCGTTGAAGTCGGGACGTGGGCGTGGAGGCGGAGAGGAAAGTGTGGTATCCTTAGGTGATCGCGACTGAGGAAGGCGGAGGAGCGAGAGAACGACTCAGCCATTTCGCGGGAAGAGGAAGTTGGAGAACTTTGGTTATTTTATTTTTTTTATTTCTCATTCAGTTCAACAGAGTATTTCCGGGGGGGTGAGTTAAAATGATCTATCGCATTTTACTGAGAACTACCTA